TTTGGAGACTGTTAATTCATTTTTAAGTTTGCCGTGCCCTCCCGTAGCCTATTTTCGTGCCTCTACGTGGGACGATTGGATTCGTTGTCGTGACTATGGCGTCTGAAAGGTATTTTCACGTTTGCATCCTAAAACGGTGTCATTTACTACCAAGAAAATACGTTCAAACAATGGAAGCGGAGTTAAAATTTAAATCCGATCTCTTGATGAGGTAGCAGATTCGACTTCGCATGATGATTTTTGCATCAATTCGATACGCATTCACAGTGAAGAACTTTTCAGAACGAACATCCCGCCACATCGGTTACTACTTCAGCTAGTGTTCTCATCAGATCGACATGTATATCTCAGCCTACAAAAAGTTGGATCTTAGAATGGTGCGATTTGAAACTTTCACAACCTCTCCAGACTGAGGTGCGACAATGGCAGCTACACCTTTCTTCTCATCAACTGGTCCACGGCCACGCAGCGATGTGGGACTTGGTGCTTTGCCTATGCATACCTAAATTGGTGGAGTCTACTTAGCAGTAAGCGTTATAAGCCCCCCAAAACTGGGTTCTGTGAACTCTCCGGAAAAGCAAGCTTAAGGCATGTAAACTAAGCATAGAACGGTGTCGTGCACTGATCTCTCGAAAACTGCCGATAGTTTAAGGATAGCTAACATTGTAAGTAGCCTACGGACGCATGCGGAATCAAGTCCGGTATTTCCGAAGATACGTGTGACAAATTAGCTATGGGGTCTTTTGGCGCAATAAATCACGGTGAGGAAATAACGTGAACGAGGAGGGGGGATGAATTTGCTACTAGTTCAAAAAATAATTAGGATGAAAACCATATTTTCTTCAAAATAACAGGGAGAAAGCTATATCGTCTAGTCTGATCAGCGAATGCGATTGTCAGGAGGGTGGCTCGCCAACAAATCGTACTTCGCTTAGGCTAGATGGGCGGAGACATCAGTGCGGCGACCAAGTCCTTACAAAAATTTGGTCGCAGGCTATACATGACGTGCTAGACTCAGTGATTCGTGATTTTGATGCCGCGTTTTTTTATTAGTGCGTCACTTTTTCCTGTATTAGCCGTGAGGGCATACCGAAAGTAGTTTACAAAATTTGCATTACCATCTGCAGAAATATGGGTCATTTTCTCGATCGTGCTTAAACTTGCTTTTGTGTTTTGGAACACCGGCCTCGAAGGCTGCTTTTGTCTGCATCACTATCAGCCACCACTTGTTAACACAAAGTATGCACCAAATAATGCTCCGGCAATACTTTTCAGAACATGCATACCGAATCGAAGAGTAGAAAAAATTAGTGTTTAGGGCAGTGCCTTTTTAAAAGACAAACAAATGTGTAAATGAATTTGAGCCATGGTGACAGCCAAACGGAGACTGGCGTCAAAGCGGGATATCCCAAACTTGACAATGATTAAGCGAACACATCTTCGCTTGAAGGCTTCCATTTCGTATGGACAGATAAACTAAAAGGCTTTAAAATAACGGAAACGTATTTGTTGAAAGAGCCCATTAGTACGTTCCAATTAGTCTGAATGTAGGCGCACTTCTTTGAAACCTCAATAAAGTGGAGTTGTAATGGCTCGCATTACGTCTAATTCTAAGCACCTACTGTTGAAGCATTTTACTTGCATACCGAGAAATCGTAGCCTTGTGTTAGTTAAAAACTAACTCAAATTAGCAATAGAATAGGCGATTCATTGAGAGCAAGAAATTCCAATATGATTCTAAGCTTCCACTTATTGAACTGTTGGAACTCAAGAGTGGAGGATAATTAGCATTCTAATGTGTTACGCTCCAACTCGTCAGTTTAAGACATTATTTGGAACATTGCCGAAGAGCAAACAATGGACGATTAGCTATTTATAAACGCATGGACTAAACTAATAAAGCATACTTTTGTAGGATGATCAGAATAGGTATAAGGCATAGAAGTTGAAACGCGTATTCGTTCTTCATTGTCAAATATTTCATGGACAAAATTTGTGCAGCTGAGCAGAAATTAGTGGAGGCAGATCGCTCGTCCACATGACTGAGGGGGTTAGGGCTACTGCAAATACCCAAGCCGAACGTGGTCACCCACAACACGAACAAACCGGGACCCTGTACCGTACATTATGGTGAGCTTGCGTACTTTTCAGGTACAGAAAGAGAGCACAGCAGTGAAAATTTTTTTATGGTCGGCTTCAAAACGGCATAGACATACATACATGCATTTTGGGCTAAAGTTCATTACGCTATCAGAGGCTACGGTATAGCTGAACACAACCCTAAACGCTTTGTCATTTGGAGTTCTTTTGTCGAAGAAACAGTACGCATTAAGGATAGCGAAGTTGGTAGTGCACTACCGCTAGGAGAGGAACGACGTTTTGTACTGGTGGAGATATATTTTCTTGAACCATCATTTTTAGCTTTTGCGATTGCTAAAGGAAGTCGAATTAAAATATGCAGCAAAACCCCCACCTCAACCTTGTATTATACACCATTTCCTGCTTGGGACCCATGAACATCGCTGACACAACCATTTAAACACACCCCGGGGTCGTCTCTGCAAGTAATTTCTTCTCACTCTTGCCCCGTTGCAATTATGACCCCCAGTTGTGGTGCTGCATGGAGGTCTCGGTCTATCAGGGAATTTGATGGTCCCCTCACCATATCAATCACAAGTGATTGGTTCATCTCTAAGTTATGTGAATTCTATAATTGTGCAAATTAACATCTGATCAGGAACCAAACCATTAACATCTGCTTCTTAACTCGAAAGTAGGCAAAATGCCGACTTTAGATAAACGCTATTAACGGAAGTCAGACAACGATGTTGACTAAGCCATTAATGAATAAATCGGCCCATTGCAATGGATATAGGCGGTCGTCCCCAATGTTGTCATTATTAGATTTTGCTCAAACCTAATTTGCGTTTTGCAAAGCAAACACTTGCGATTGCTGATAAAAATGCAGATGCTGGTTCGGTGTTCACTCTTGGTGGGCGCGTTGCTCATATTTTCAGATTTTGGAGTTTTACATCATGCAACCTGTGAATTAAAGTGGAATGACCTGCAACCATAAGACTGGATTATGAATCACTGTTCGATGTAAAAGCGCGATTGCACTAGTGAGTTGCAAAAATGTCTTGAAATTTCTAAAGCTAAAAACGAGGCAACTAGTGTAATACGACAGTGGTTTATCCCTCGGTTCTGGTGAGGCGCCACTTTTGTGCTTTGAAGTAGCCCCCTTGTACCTCACTGGGTGGGCTGGCCTTTGGGCCATGCCAATAGCCCAGACACCTTCTCCGTGCTGAATATATGTATTCTGCCCGAGTATTGCGTTTTCTTTCGTCTTCAGGGAGTCTCGGGACGCTACAACTAGACATTAGAGTTTATCTGTTATCATTATTGGTAAGCGTAATGGAAACTAGCTGCCTAAGCTTAAAAATTTGTAAGTGAAATAAATGAGACATCAGACGCATAAAATGAAAAAGTTTACAAAAGAAAACGCCAAATCTAATAAATGCATAGAAGCCATGTATAATCAAACATCTGAAAACGTTTTTACTAAATAAGATAAAATAGTCTAAGCGATTAAAAGTGACACAGTAAGAATTTCTGCATTTCAGAGGAAGTAGTGTAGCGTCCCAGGACTCCCTGAAGACGAAAGAAGACACAATACTCGGGCAGAATATATATATTCAGCACGGAGAAGGTGTCTGGGCTATTGGCATGGCCCAAAAGGCCAGCCCACCCAGCGAGGTACAAGGGGGCTAATTCGAAGTACAAAAGTGGCGCCTCACCAGAACCGAGGGATAAACCACTATCGTATTACAGTAGGCTTTAAAAACCCACTAAAAGAGGATGACAACACTGTAACACTTTCTCGCTGAAAAGGAAGGAATTACAGCAGGTCAACCTACGCCCTCATCGTCAAATTTTTGAACGGATAAAGATGCATGTCAATTAATATTGTAATCTACAACGACTAAAAGGTAAAATAGCCCTTAAGAGGCAAATCCCTCGAGCATTGCTTTTATTCCTACGGATTATTATGTGCTTGCGAAGTGGATAACTTAATTAGATTGCTAAAAATACTTTCATATTTTAACAATGAACTAAATCAGATGAAAATTTTGCCACATTCCAGCTGCGCATTAAAATAGCGAGCTTTACCAATATGCCATCTCAAGTCAGTCCAAAATGATGCAGTCAAGAAATTCATCCTGAGCGGTACTACCTATTTTTTAATACAGTTAAACTTAATACACCGAAATGTTAGGGATTTTTCGTGATTGGTGATAATTAAGTGCATAGTGCTAACAAATGGATGAAATGCACATATCAGTACTTGTTTAAACTTGTTTCCATGATATTTAAGGATCGGATACCATGACGCAAAGCATCCAGCCAATTCGAGTGCATAAAACTTTTCGAACTTAATCACCATGCTTCGTTCCTTTTCATATTATTTTATTTAAGGAAAGTGCCCTTCCAAACAATCATATTTTTTGAATTCCTTCTTGATGTTTGCTCCCAGAGAAGAATAAAAGATACAATATTGGCACTACTTTTAGTGCTTTTGAACTCCTAGGTGGCTACTGCACCTTAGTTTTATTGTTTTTTTCCTAACTAATTTTCTTTTTACTTTTCATGGGGCATGTTATACGTTAAAAAGCTAGGCGGATTTGAAAAAATAGGATTGATTATTGAGATGTTTTGGGTAAACGTTTGAAAAGCAATCAGCGCTTTCTAAATGCACATGAAGAGACCTTTGGGCACATGTGATCTTTCCCCTTGTCAGTAATTTGAAATGGAATACAGTGTGGATCCTGAATTGGTTAAAAACGAAATTGCGAAAAATTTACCAAAGAATTTCTTTGAAAATAAGCCAAAGAAAAACACTGAGTCATCACAAAAAGACAAAGCAAGTAATCAGCTGAAGACAACCAGTGCTTTAGGTCTTAAAGCCATATGTTAGACCCGATGCCACGGATGTGTATATAATGGACCCGGAAACTGAGGTATGTAAAGCTACTCTGTTTATTTAGTAGGTCGGATTCGAAGAACTAAGAAAAAAAGTGGATCTTAGTGCCTTAATGGTAGAAGGGCTGGGAGTTAAAGGGAATATACCAGAGGATGAGTTGATCGATTTCCAGGACGACGTCGCGCCATCTGGTGAATTCATTGCTGAAAACTTCAAACATGTTCATAAATTATCACTTCTAAAGAACCTTAAATTTGACTATGTAGAGCTTGGTAATGGGCTTCGTTGTAATCAAAGGCTTTCAGATAAGTTTATCAAATCTGATAATCCAAAATCTGGTGACGCTGATTCATTTTTCGGGACAGTAGTGCATGATATAGGTAAATCGAAACCCAGGAAATCGCTAATTTTTTTAAAGTGTGTATAAAGACCTTATCAAAATCCACCCAAATCTCGCTCCTAAAAACTCCAAAGCATCATCCAAAGTCGGACGAAGGCAGGACAACATCTAATGTCTTTGATGCTAAGAGACTACACAATGGTGAATTTTCGGAAGGTAGTGAACTCTCATTTTCCCAGTTTACTGTCTTTAAAAGAATGTTATACGCGCTTTAAGGTAAGTCCTAAGAAAATGCCTTCGAATCCGCTGGTGGCCGAGCATCATACCGACTCTCTCCAACTTCATTCGTATGCAGTCCGTTGTAGATGTGAGTTCTATGGTTTTAGAAATGAAAATGGAGAGGATGTACATTCGCATGATAAAAATGCGGAAAATAGTTTACCAAAAACTAAAGTGGAAGATGAAATAATCAGTTTAATGTTAAACGACAATGCGGCGTTAGACAAAGTGATTGGAGACGCAAAGCTTGCAAACGGGGTCAACGACCAACCTTCAATAAAAGGGAGTAGAAGTACGACCTCTTCTTCAAATAAGTTAAATGAGTAAGTGGTTGCACTTCCATGAAAATTATAATTCACAGAAGAGTCTTTTTTTATGAAGGGATAAAAGGGAATGTAAAAGCCCACATTGGATCGGCATCCCCCCGCCATTTCTTCCTTCACTATTTCATGAGGTCAGTTAACAAATTTATTGCATGAACTAAATATGAATTAATAATGAAACTTGCATACCTTTTAACAGAGAGAAAAAATTGATTTAAAACTTCAAAAAAATTGCACACAAATTATTTACTTCTATTTAGGATACCTCTATCACCAAAGCAATACGATTTACACCCATGTTATCCCACTATGCTGCCCTGGGGTCTTTATATCTCATCACAATAGAGCTCAATGCAAGCTTAGTACCTACCGTCATCACGTCAGATGTTGAAGACCTCCAAATAGCAGAATCAAGGGTCTATGGATTCGAAAACCGGAAATGCGTTTCCAAGACTACATGTAGTAAAAACCATCTCTCGCTTTCCTATGCTGCCATACTTGGCTGGCTACTGAGTAATGTCGTTGATATAGCGGATGATTTTGCTGAAAAGATTGGATTTCAGACCATGGCCTCTTTGCAGCACAAATACAGCTCTGAAGTGTCAAAGAGTATTTCCACCACTAAAAAGGTTAGCGTCACCCTTACTACCCTCATTATGCTGAAAGAACAGTACAATCTCTCTGAACTGCAGGAATGGGTGACAAACACCTCCGTCAACCAGGTAAGTTGATACAGTTTGGAGCGTATTTGTGATGTGATTGGTTGAACACTATACATGTAAGCCCTTTTATTGAAAGGTGGTTGAGTGCCACTCGATTTTAGTTTTCTATATACATAGTTCAACATTCAAAAGAGTTACAAATAATTCTTGTTTAATTAAAAGCTGATTGATGGAGTGAGTCACTACCAAGACCTATGGAATCCGAATAACATCCCATATTGTTCAAGTGACCACTCACTGGATTCCTATGTGAATATCCGACTTTTCAATTGGCCTCATAACCACGATTCGAATCAACTCGAATCTGCCTTTAGTGAGGCAGTTGGAATGCCAGGCATTTTCTGGAGCATCCATGATCCTGGCACACGAGATCCAGTAATCCAAGACTCATGGACTCCGACAAGCGATTTGATAAACTCAGCTGCGCAAGACCTCTCCGATGATGTTCCAATGGAGCTTGATGGTGAGATTTATCAAGGCCAACCGGAGAGCACTCTTATTACGTTCGATCTACCGAAAAATGCTATGAGAGAAAAGAGGAATGATTATTTCATTCAGATATTCAGTTTGCTGGCAGGACTCCAAGTACGAGGTTTACACTTGGCCGGATCGCGACTAGGATGGATAGAGGATAATCAGCCAGTGCTCGCCTTTTTAGCCCATGGGCCTAGAGTACGTTCTATCGTAAGGGAGGTGTATCTCAAGCTAACACAGCCAAGCAATAGCAGCGTACAAGCATTTGTACCAGATATGAAACCAACCATAAAGGCAGGTTGCCTACACATCCTTTCCAGTGGAATAAGAGGGCTGGATAGGGGGGAGCTAGTAAGCATCCTTTTTTGGAAATACTTCATTCCATAAATATCATGAAATTTTATGGATGGAATATTATCAAATCTAAGACACTTGAATTTACAAACTATATGTAGAAATTAAAGTAGATTGTTTATTTAGATTTGAAATCAACTACAGTTAATGAAGGATGTGCATAAGGTAGAAACAGTAATATCAGCAATAAAAGATGGAAAAAATTGGAATACTTGAAAAGACAAAACGTAGCATAATTGACAAGAAAGAATGCACAAGTCAGTAATCGCATAAATTATTCCTTTTAGACCAGATGGTTTGGGCCTCGTTTTGACAAACAGATGCCCTATTCACAGTTGCGATCGCTTGAAATGAATCCAAAATCCTGGCTAATATCAAACATTTTCACTGACATAATCCTTCTAGTTTCCACCGAAATTGAAAGTGTTGGATGGATCATCAGCATTGCATTTAACAAACTTGGATACCGTCTTATCGGTCTATCTGCTAATCAAACTCCACATCAGCTACAGAGGGATATCAACGCAAATATGATGGATGTATTGAGTAAACGTTTTGGAGGAGCACATTTGGACAAGCTAGTGAAGTTCATTAGCATACCTTTCACACTCCTCATCTTGCGACGACCAGATGCACTCCGATTTTCGGCAAGCCTACTGGCTGACCTATATAACCAGTATAAATGGTTGAGATTTTCAGATTCACCTTCAAGTAAATAAAATGGTACATTTTTATGCCATGCTTCTTAAGCTGTATTGTCTAGAAATCCTGCATCTATTGAGGAATTGTTCTTTGTTACTGACTATTCCAAGGGCCTAATGGATGCTCTAGACATATCGTACACTCACACGGTTGGTTATGCTAAATTTTTAGGCCTTTCATAATCAGTTTATTGAATTGTTTTACCTGCTGCATAGCAGAACCCGTGATTAATACAATTTTTAGCATTTACTCATTACTACTTCAGCTCCCTGAACTGCAAGTAGAAGGGCAATTTCCCCAAGTTGATCTTCCAGGTGAAATGTCCGGGCCTTCAGATTGTCCTTCATTCACTTTCCTCGTTCTGCTCCCTATCATGACATTGGATCAGCTGTCAAACATTGAGTACTACTGTAATACGATGTGCACCCCAGAAGATGAAAAGGTTAGTCTGGAGGTGCACCAGACACTGCGATTCGCCCGTCTCCTTGAACACCTCCTCGGTACACCGCATGTCCCGGCGGGCCGGCTAAGGGCGCAGTGTATCGCCGCTAAGTGGATCATGACGTACGATCTCAGTGATAGGCATTGGAGCCTATTTAAACGCATGACTGGCGGTCGAGACCTCGCAAGGTTTCTTCCTAAACACACCCCATTTACGTGCCAAGGAACCGCTATTATGCTGGTGCACGGTGCTTTCCTCAAGAGGAGAATTAACAGGGCTAAAAGTGACCTGCATTCTAGTCTCTTACACACGGAGAACACCACCCTTGTTCCCGCGTGAGCGCTAGCATTTGAGTGCAATGGAAGTACAACTGTGTTCGGTTATCTTTTAATAATTTTATTAACTTGGTTTGTTGGCAACGTTCTTTGAACCCAAGGAAGTCAATCTGGATAGTTCTGCTCTTCTTCGAGATGGATTCGATTTGCCCACTGAAAAAACTATTTTGTAAGTCCAAAAACTTGGTTAATTTGAATTTATGGTACAGGGAGACCTGTCGGATACAGACCAGCTTGATTCATGCCTAATTTAACCACAAAAAATTTCTAAATTTGGTAATTTAACTTACCTAGAAAAGAGCCCAGCTTCCAAGTGATCCATGCAAAACTTACGGCAATCATCAAGACGGGACGCTCTTGTGAGGTAGTAGACGTTGAATTTGGCAGCCCTCTTCCCGTATCCCCAAATACGTACTTGAGCAAGCTGGCGGCTTTGAACAATGTACTTTACAATTGTGGTAGGTTTCAACTTTTGGATTTATCCAAATCCATTCAGGAAAAGTCAAACACCCATCCTCTATTTTAGTCTTTAGAATTTCCGAAATGGTCACAAGAAGCTCGGGAAAGATTATTCTGCGACTTCAAAGAGTTAATGCTATACAATGGCTTACATTTCTTCGAGAAGACCACCATCAATCGTTGAAATTTTTGGATGAAGAAGCCTTTGAGCTCTCCCGAGTCTTAAAGAATTTGAATGTCAAAATCACACCTCACTCTTCTATTCCAATAAATGTTAGTTCCTGCTATTACTTGGCTAATCGCAATTTCGGCAGTGTGTTTAAGTAATTTCTTCATCAAGCCATACGTGCTTTCAACAATCTAAATGATTCCTTTATTGAAGAGTTTGTTCCTGCCCCATTCTTACTAGTTATAGCAATTAGTGCTCAAAGAAAATGAATATATTAATACTTCTCCATGCAAACTTAAGTTAGTTGAACAAATCGAAGTATATAAAGTGCATGCTTAATCCTTAAACGATGAGAAAAAAGCATGAAAAGCAGGGGTTCCCAACTCCATGAGAATACATATCCGTATTGCAGATGGGCTGGGTGCTTGCTATGTAAGTCAGGGCTGTTTGATACTCCTGGAGGAAAATCCGCTTATAACCTAGAATTATTAGTACAAATGCTCTGCGAATTTCCCAATCCACATTTGTAATTTTAAATTAATGTTTGGACGACTTATCAAGGGAAATGACATAAAACTGAGGCGAGTCAAAATGGACGCGGGATCGGGGTGTTCCGAGTTTCCAGAAGCAAAGGAAACCATTCAACTCTAATTAACGACATGGAGATGATAGTTCTGCATGACACAGACGCAATTTTCTTGCCGCCACAGGAGACCGAAAGTGATTTGTCACTTGACTTGTCAACTGCTCGTTTTGCACGAATGGGCGAATCAAGAAGAATCCAGGGGCCTGGTCCTCTGGCAATGGTATTGCATTTTGTGGAACATCACAGGTTTGTTCACACATAACCCTAGATGTCTCACCTTTATTTGTTTTAGCTTGGTATGCTATGCCTTATATTTATGGTCTTTTCTTTCCAGATTCCAAATGGTAGCTGCCAGAATGGGCTATCTTGGCCTACCCGAACTGAAAAGCCTTCAATCAGCAGATATCGTAAACTTTGCTGGTGAAAAGTACGTCATGCCACTTGCTCTTCACTAAAATATGCATTTCTTAGTGCCCATGAAGTTTGTGTTCCATTTTAGGTGCCCGATGATGGGCAAAACCTGCTCATTCTAATCCACAATGTCCCAGAACAACCATCTTTGCATGATCATATGCGGTACACTATTCATTGTGCAATTGTCAGTTGGAAATGAACCTGATGTTGGAATGGAAGTAGTAATGAATAAATTTGTCTAGGAAGGGAATTATGGCTTCTAACCACTAGGTTCATAATTTTTGATGGTGGCTCCTGTTGGTACGCAATAATGCATAATAGGTTGCTTTTATTGAGGTGCCAGAGATCCCTTGCATCTTGTGCCCAGTGCGTTTTACGCTAGTTCATGACTTTTTAAGCTCCCCAGTTGATTTAAACGCCTTTCACGTCGTTTCATATTTCAGGATGGATACCAACTGGAATGGCATATTGAGTGCGTTCACGAAGGACATATACATGTCAGCAAAGAGATTTGAGGTAACTAATAATGAAGTGGCACATTTTTGAAGGCATTATTGATAAGAGGACACCATTGTAGGATTTTTGGATATGAGATATAGCTTCTTGGAGGATAACACTGGATTAGCACCCTTTCAAACCGAATCACATTTTTCATGCATTTACCTGTTATAGGCCATGAAGGCAGCCTGGATAATGAAGGACTATCTGCTGCCAGGCTATGTGGGTGCCTTCGTTGAAGGAGACGTTTTGTAAAATTCTTCCACTCGTGATTCACCTCGTTCAGAATTTCCGAAATAAATTCCAGTAAGAATATTCTATACATGTACTTTAATGTATTAATAAAACTTGTTTGGATGCTTTTGGCAAGATTACGGACAACTCAGACATGCACATACAGTTGGTGCCTTAAACGGATGGAAAGCGCTCGATCTTCGGGGAGTAAGGTATGAGCACGGCACAGTGCATAAATTCGGTGCAGTGCGCACTGCAACTAATCCAGTTGCAAATCACTATCCTTTAAAACTGAAATGAGGGTGCTAAAATGCTAAAGCACTGAAAAGAACACCAACCCAAACTATAGGCGGGAAATTTAAAATCGACTAATGAACAGCCGCAAATGAAAAGCAACTGAGCGTCCAACAAGTATGAGAAACAGTAGACACTGTTGCGGGAAGTTAATGTAACACCTGATCTCCCTAGTGAGGCAAATGACAGTGTCGGTGGTAAAGAAGAGGTGAGATCACAATACATACCACTTGCAGCTGTACGACCCATTTAGGTTAATGATAAGTGAAAACAAGTATAGATATGATGTGATGCACGCTATATCCTATCTGCGTCCCACACATATTGATACAATAAAAGTGAGTTGCAGTTCTCAGTAGTTCCCGGTTAATATAAAGAATGTAATGCCTGACACCCATTCCATCCGAAAAGGAACAAGTGACAGAGAGGTGAGACGCAAAGGTGGACAGGGAAGGAAGGGCTCTATTGAAGTGTCGCATCCACGCAAAACTCGATTGCATTGATTGCCTCACTAAGCAAACGGAGAACCTCCTGCAAGCGCGCGATGATGCAAGTTGCTCGAAATTGCCGGGTCCAACCAGCGGTGTAGGTAAACTTGTCGCGGGAATAAAAATTTACGCACAGAACAAGGTCCGCTCCATCCACGAAAATGTGCATTGAATTTTCGGGTGGTTGGGGTGGATAGAAACACATCTATAGGAAAGACGGGAGATGAAAAGTGAGTCCACCACAGAGCACCAGGAAAAAGATGAACTGAAAATACTTACAACATGGTCACGATTTCAGGATATCAGGCCAAAAAAGAGACACGATAGCATCCAAATTCAGGGAACATAAAATTTTAACTCAACTTCATGGAATTCGAAGTTAAGCGCAAAGATCATAGGTAGTGGTAATTTATAAGAAGCCTAACTCACACGAGCGTTAGATTTTTCAAATCCAGGCACTGTCCTATTGGGAGATGGATTGAGTAGAGAGTTGAGGGCGCATTGCAAAAACGTCCACAAAGCGTGAAAAGATGTCTCGTCGCAGACGGAGAGAGCACGGCAGATGTTATTCCAACAGTCCTGAATCTGTTGCAGCTTGAATGGTATTCCATAACCTTCACGGATGTATACTGCAAAGTTTTGACCCGAAGGTCGTGTGATCTTGATAGCTGCATCAAAGATGGTGTCACCTGAGATGCTCAGTACGGCGGTCAAAGCGGTGCACGCGGAGGCCAAAGTATGATTTTCAGTCTCGGCCTGAGTCAAGAGATCCTTGCACCGCTTGAGGCAATGCTCGATGTCCTTACATATCCTGGACACCTAGCAAGGGAATATTTGCTTGTGACAGCTAAACCCCAGACAAGGCGAATGCATACGCTTCAGTGCGAGCATAACACCGGGGCCCATGACCGTGGTTCCACAATTAGTAACGAAAATACAAAATGACCCCCCACGCAGAATATGCGCAGCCATTATTTCAACTCCCACTGGCTATCAGCAGATATAACTTTTAGGACTCTCAAATTGTATCAACTAGTATCCCTATAAGGGTCAATGGTACCCTAAACGGTGACAGACTTCAGTGAAACCAAATCGCGGTTAGAACCACCTGCACAAAACACGGAGTCAGTTAAGTGAGAAAATGGTACAAATTAACTGTAACACGATAAAATTTTATTAGCACAGAGAACTGAACAAGCAATAGGATCAGGGGTGCCAGAGGCATAGAAAAGTGTATAACGATAACTGTACAAACGGATGGAGTGAAACTAAAAGAATATAAAATCGCAACAGGAGCGCACATAATGAGTTGACACTTCATTATTCCTCTGTGTCGACGTATTTTGACAGGTCAAAGGTGAGAACGCGACTGACAAGGCAGTTATTCTCCTGAAAATTATGAAATAAACAACATTAAAAAGTTATAAATAATGAAATGAAAACGTTCGCATTCGATGTTACGAGGAGCACTCTGTGCCTTTAGTGGGGTAACGGAAGCAGCATATTAATTTTGATAAAACATGAGCTTGTACATCAAATAAAGCAGAAGAATGATAGGTTAATATTAAACACTTATGCAATCGAGTAATGTTACACTATTTTGATGCATGTACTATTGGGGCACATTAACATTCCAATGGGAATTAAGAAAAAAATTCCTTAGTAGAACTGGTTAAATATAAAGTTGGCTATATGAACAGGGACAATTAAATGACACGAGTCACGTATACATTGGGATTTACTGCTTAATGAAGGCTAGGTCATATGGATAGAAAAAAATACCGTATCAGGATAGATGCCGACGAGGGAATCTGCTCGGGAATAGAATTCCTCCTTCAATGAGATGACAATGACCTGTGCACGGGTGCGCGAGTACTCACGGATGAAGGAGGCCACCTTCCCAATATTGGTGTTATCCAAAGCGGCATCGATTTCATCGAGAACGAAGAAGGGGGAGGGGTTGTACTGGTGCATCGCGAAGGAGAGGGCTAGGGCAGCGATGGTCTTCTCGCCACCAGACAGGGAGTCCATTTGCTGGAACCGTTTGCCCGGAGCCACACACTGAAACTGCAATTCTTCCAGATAGGGCTCCTCCGCATTTGTAGGCAACAGACTCGCCTGAAAGGAAGACCACCTCAAATTCAGAGTTCCTCTTCTTATATACACGGTAAGTTTCATGTACGAGCATTTTTATAGAGAAGTGGTGAATAAGAGAAAAGCCGCAAGCAAATATGCTACTATTTATCAGTCCATTTCTCAAAGAATTTCTCAACCTCGGAGTGGAAAACAATATAGAAGAGGAAGTAGTTTATACATCACGCACAGTGGTAGGAAAAAGCAATAAAGACTTTATACCATTCTTTAAGAGTAATATGAGGAGCTAACTAAAAACGAGATTTCAAGAAAACAAAAGAGCGTACACCAACTTAATTACAGCTGCAATGTAGGTAAATAGAGCTCATAAAAAGGAAGACTGAGTAAAATAAAGCGTCGAAGCAAGCATAAGGACAAAAAAGGTGCATTTGATATAGTTGCTAAGGCCCTACCTGAGCACCAGGATTGCGCGAGAGGGCTTTGTACAGAGGATCAATGTTATCGGCGATAGAGAGGAAGCATTTCATAAAAGCATTGCATCGAAGACGGCGAATCCTTTCAAACTGGGCACGGGCCTTCTTCGCCTTGCGCCGAGTCTCCTCAAACTCAGCCTCGGTAGAGCGAAGTCGCTGTTCCACATTGCCCAACTTCGCGCCCGCCTTCAAATTCGGTGCCTGAAATCGCGAGAGCTCGCTCTGCATCCGATCAACCTCCGCTTGCATTTCGTCTACCCTAACGGGGTACAACAATTTGGTCCTCAAAACAATTCTCGAAAAATCAACAAACAAATGCAAATACTAACGAGGAAGCAGACTTATCGGTAATTAAGTGAAATGGCACAATCCGAATGACAATTGCTGAATCAACTCTAGTCAGGTATCGGATGACATTCACTGTAAATGGTAAAGCATTCCCCTTTCTGCTTGCATATCGAACAGTAGCAACTAATGAAATTAAAAGTACTTCAAAAATTGAAAAAAATTCCACGGATCCTAGAGAATCAAACGCTAGTTTAGCTAACAAAGCGCAGACTTACTTTCTACTAACTTCTTTGTCGTCAGCTATCATGCGAAGAGGTTTCTCCAGTTGCTTGTAGTCTAGTGGTAGACGAGCTTCCATAACGTAGAGTCGCATCATCTCTTCTGAGTTGAGATCTGCACCCTCACTTTCAGCTGACAACTGGCTTTCCAGCTCCGGCATTGAGCTTGCGCCCGGCTTCAAAGGCAGCTGTAGATCTTCCATCTAAACCACAGATCAGAAAAGCCCCTAGTGACATTGAAAGGCTTTGTAGATACCAGCGCCCTGGGTGTGGCAAACACCGACATACCTTGGCCGATTGAAGCAATGAGTGACGCTCGGAGCGTTTGGCTTCCAACCGCGTCTCAATTTGACTTGTCTCCTTCTGTAGCTTCTGGATTTCTCGTTTTCGCGAAACCAAACGTCGACTGAGCTCCGCCAACTCACCATCCAAACGCTCACATTTGCGTTGATACTCGCTTAATTGAAATTCAAAATTGCCCTTATGGATTTCTTCTGCCTCCATCTCCTCCTTTAGGCGCTTCTCTTGCTTCTTACAACGCTCCATCTCTTGACGCTCGCTCACCACCGCTTCCTCCCAACGACGCACCGCAGCTATAACAGAGCACTATGACCTTAAACATGGAAACAAGGGAAGCCAAAGGCTAGCTGTAGGGTAAAAGATCTGAGGAAACTCCTACTGACGATGGTGTACCAAAAATTATGATGTGAATATCAGCTGAAAGCTCATTTAATTCAAAGATTTAGAATGAATTCACGGAGCAAGACATCTGAAACAAGTTTGATGGCACGAATAAAGTCACTAGTTGAGCATGAAAATGCAGATATGCTATAATGCAATCTCAAAAACGCTACCTTGAGTATCACGAGACTTCTCATATTCTAGCTGATTGTTGATGCGTTGAAGTTGATTGGTAAACTCCATACGTTTTCGGTCGCGTTCGCGGGCAATACGCAGCTCACGATCTTCATATTCACTGGAAAGTAAGCGGTGTGTGATAAAAACAAAACTAAGGTGCTCTTGCAAATAAAATCCCATAAGTAGGAATCTAAATGTCAAACGAGATCTTATCGAATTTGAGTGACGAACAAAATAGCTGAATGGCACCAATTAATAAAGACCTCTCTCACCGGATATTTTCCACACCGATACTGACACAAAAATCATGCAATACGGTGTCTTCAACGTTATCCATTTTTGCCTTTTCAGCGTTAATTGAGATCTGAAGTTCCTGCATTTTTGTCTGACACATACTGAGCCGTTCCTTAAGCAAAGACAACCATAGGTATCACGAAATCGAAGCACAAAACCGATGAATTCGACGAGAACGTACATTGACCTCCTCCAGATTGACTTTCAAATTGTTTACTTCCTCTTCGTTTCCACTAAGGATTTTTTCTTCCTACAAACAAATATCTTTGTAGCGGGTGAGTTTCTCTTACAAAACTCAAATTGCAAATTAACTCCAAAATCAGCAAGACTGATGATGCCCTAATTGGTAGTCGACTAAAATGTGAATATCTGATAAAGGTCAAATATGCCCAATCTTATCTAGAAAAGTGACCCAAAAAATCAAAGTAGCATGGGGTTGTGCATTTTACACCAACACGTTACATGTGACCGAGAATAACTCACAGTGCCTTCCTTATCTTTTTGTGTGTATTTGAGCCTTTTTTCAAGACCATTGATTTGTGACTGCAGAGTGCGGAGCTCGGCCTCTTTACGCTTCCGTTTCAGCTGTTCCTTCAATTCGACCTGCAGTGCGTCGCGACGCGCCATCAAAGAACTGATTTGTTTTTCGTCCCAACGCTTAGCCCTCGCCTTCAAGTCGCTGAGGAGCAAAGCAGAAGGCAAACTTATCAGTTTACTGAATATTCGACGGATTTTGATGTCTAGATAGTTGCTTAAACACTTCTCACCACCGACAGATTCAAACGAAGCCACGTCACATCTTTCAGGTTTCTAAACGAGATCGAAAAAGATCAAACTTGCCTTGCACCACCCGAAATGATGCCCGATCGTTGGAAGAGGGTTCCGTCCAGAGAAACGGTCTACCCAAAAGCGGTGAAAAATTAAGACTGAAGCGAAACAGACCCTGAGGACTTTATCGAAGCAATTTTAGCAGAAGTGATGACAGGAATTTAGATTTTTAAAACATCGGGACTCATTCAGCAAAAAATAGCTTAAGACGGTTTAATCACCTTTTTACGATCACCCATATTGTAGGCGACGTAACGAGCGTGCTCGACAGTGTCACAGACAAGAGCGTTGCCACAAGCGAACTGCAGAGCTTTCTTTGCAATCACAGGATCGCAATTGATAACATCAATCACTAGGTGGACATTCGGCGGCTCATTTATTTCACTAATGAAGTGAGGGTAAAAACGGTATTCATTAAGAGGCAAAGCAAAAATTATTGTCCACGGACCATTAAATAAACTAAAATGACATCCAATACTTGAGCAGATAAAAACTAAAGCAATTCATATTTGTGTATGTGATATAAAAGCGATTTAAGCAAGAAATTCTTACCGCAGTTTTTCATCAACTGGCTTAACATCAAGGAAGTCAAGAGGGAGAAATGTTTCCGGCTCAATGCGTTGATCCTTCATGTACTGAATACAGTCTTTCGCCGTTTTTTCACTGTCACACACGATGCTGTCCATGTGTTTGCCAAGAACTTTGGTGATGGCGATTTGGTAACGCTTGTGCGACGGTTCACACATCTCCAGCAGACGACCTTGCTGAAAGAACATTAAATCAGAGAATCATTAAAAAAAGCAAGTCTATCATTTTCAAGAACCATTTAAAACAATAAATTTGCAGAATTCAGGAAATAGACAACCATCAAATCCAATGGAAGTGTTGCTGACTCACTACGCCAGGAAAAAGTCGCTTGAGGTTCTCGATTAGTTCCTGCTTTTTAACCGCTCGAGAGGATTCGTGGCGTTCTACCTTGGCCTCGCCCAACTGGCAAATCACTGTCTCCAACTCCGCGTTGATTTCATCCATTCGCCTCGTTGCGCTTTCAACTTCCTCTCTAATCGTCTTCTCTGCCTCTGAGAGCTCCGTTATGGAGCGATGGCTAGTTCTGTGAAGTTGTGATGAATAAAGAGTTAAAATGGTTTGAAGTTAGGGAAAATATACATTTAAAATATTATACGTACTCAATGAACTCAACGAGCCTCTGAAGACGTCTTTGATTGTCAATAAGCTCCGTCTGCTTTAAACGAAGAGAATTTTCAATTTCTTCCTTCCGCCTCTCAAGACCATCGAAGAGATCCTTTTGCTCATCATATTCCCGCCTGAGGGCGTCGAGTTGGGCCGAAAGATCTGAGGTATGTTCCGCCGCTTTCTGTTTTAGCCTGTGATACTCGGCCAACTGCATAAAACAGATACAGTGACACGAACATTGAGATGATATAGATGCACACAGCATATAAGCTTACTTGTGAATCCTCCAGTTCAAGAGAACGACCCTGCTCCTTGCTCTTTTTATTCTGTTGATGCTCATAATCTTCTTTAAGAGCTAAGATTCGAGAATACTCGGCTTCCAGCTGATCCATTTCCTGACGATGGCTACTGTGCTGTTGACGAGCATTCTCCAAAGCCTTTCTTTATTTCCAATAACAAAATTGGCGTATTTACTGTAACACTTACTTTGATTCTTTATGCTTGTCGCTAACATGACGCAGCATCTGTGAAACTTTAATATACTCAGGCTTTCTCTTGGAAACCTTTTGGTCCTAAAATTATTGGAAAACATCCGAAGTAAAAAAATTACAAAACACAACAAAAAGGGGTTACGTACACATTTTTTAATTTCTTGTTCTAAGCCTGCCTGATCACGATGAAGTTTGCCCAATTCCCGACGCTTATCACGAATCTCTTCCTCTATTTGTTGTCTCTGTGTATTCTCCTGCTCAATTATTTCTTCTCGCTGTTGTAAATCTTCTCGTATGCGTTTGATATCCACATCGTTATAATATAACCGGAAGAGTTGCAACTCCGTTCGTTTGGACAGCTAAAAGGACTAATTGTTTACCCAGAGAAAAAAAAGCAGCGCTAATGACGAGCATGTTTTACCCATTTATGATGTAGCTTCTTGTACTTCTCTGCCTCATCGATTTCTATACGAGCCTCTTTACGTTCTGCTACAATATTTTTCTTTTTATTAAGGTTGAATGTGGCCTCTTCTTCCAACTTCTGCATTTCAGCCTTCGACCTGTCATATTCCTCTTTATATTCTGCTGATCGACTGATTTCTTCGAACATTTGACAACGCTCACGAGCATTTTTCATGGCAATGCTCTCAACGGCTCCTTGAAAAATCAAGAAGTTTTTGACCTTCATAAAAATCCGTATTTTTTCGAGAGCTTCCGCGTACTCTTCTACTTTTACAGGCTATCTAAATGAGAAAAGTAATAATTGCGGCCCACAGTCCCATTGATGCGGTACTCTGAGGTATTACCGCTGATGTATCGACTAAAGCGTTTGTCAACACCATCGGGCATCTGGTAAACCGCGGTGACACTAGCAGTTTTTGCGACGGGCTTTCCCACGACCGACCCATGTATAAGATCCTACGAACTAGATCCAGGTTCGCTTTGCTTACACTTAGCTTCGTAACCCTTAGGTGCCGTGTCCGTTCACCAAGTACAAAGCTGATAGCGTCCATAAGATTTGATTTACCTTAAATGTGAGCCCATAAATTCTAATTACCGGAACCATTTGGGCCTATGACTGCAGTAAAAGCACTAAATGGACCAATCACTTGTCTGCCTTTATAAGACTTGTAATTTTCAAGTTCGATATATTTAAGATGACCACAATTGTCAATCATAGTGGCCTCCAAAAGTGCGCATGCATGCGGAATTCATTAAAACAAAAGGTTTTAAATCAGGCATTTTAGCTCTAAAACAGACTAACTTATTAATTTTTAATTGTCAATTTCTAGGTATTTTGTTTAACAAAGGTCAGTTATTATGGTGGTATGATCTTCGACGTACTATTACTCTCGCCCAATCGTTTGTGCCCGCCGTGAAGTATAAGCTCAACGGCAGATCAGCGTTTTCGTCCATTATGCGCGTTTGCTTCCGCGGTTTTATACTGTTTGTTATCGGGGTCCTATTTTACTATATTTTCGGACTTATTCAAGGGTTTCGGAGTGGGATTTTCAATGACAAATTCAGCCAGTGTTTGTTGAGCACCAGTTTCGGTATTCCTTTGTGCTGTGGTCTTCTCTCAGGTAGGTTTCTTCTTGTTTTTACGTTACTTCTTAGTTGCTTGTGGTCTCACATCGCCTCGTCTTTACCATAACCTGAAAATTCCAAACGCTTATGAACCAGAATGGTCATCGATCATGCGCTGCGTCATATTTTTTATGGGCATAAGTCATGCATCCGCCAAACTTGATATCATATCTATTTCACAGTTGCTTTTGACAAGCTTCTGTTTTGCTATTGGTATATGGTGGATTTTCGATCGTTCCGTCAGTGGTATTCTTACCGGATTCCTGATGTCGCTGTTGGGTACCGGTATTTGTCTGGTGCTTGGGGACCAAACCATCAGGTAGGCTTTGATTGCTCTGACATTACGCTTGTTAGGTCCATTGATCCACTTCTCACATCTTGGCTACCGTGCATTTTCTTTTCCGGCGGTATTACTACCTCACTTGTCGGTCGGCAACTTGCGAAATTGGACGGGTTTGATTCGTTCAAGCTTAAGGCTGAATGACTCATCTATCAGCGCCGCGGACCGACTTCAACCTGCATTTACATATGTATTTCGACTGCTTGTTGTCTTATTGCGATCGGCCAGTATGTCTCATGATTCTGGCAAAACTTTGCTACCACTTTATGAAGCACTCTGATTTTACGAACATTTGTTTCCTTGCTCCCTCTTCCCTTTTTTTTGGAGTCCATATCCATTCCTTCCGCCTTGTAAACTACTGTATTTTGATTCTATTTTCATGATATAAGAATGTGAATAGGGAGTCATCTCCTGCCTGCTTTGCAACACTTGCACCGCTGGCTGGGCGCCTATCTAGTGTGCATCATGCATTGGCTGCTGCAAATTACCCTGACAGATACAGTGTCCCAATCCGCCTGGCATATCGATTCCAGCGTCTAAAACGTGTGGCCTTTTATGTTATCTAGTTCCTACATGCCTACAATGCTATCTGTCGTATTCAGATTTCAGCGGGAGTTCGCACGTCTCTTTTCTCGTTTAATTTTCCTAAAACATTGCGCTTCTTTCGTGTTATTCATAACGGTTCACTTTGCGCGTAAACCCTTTAGCGTTAGTCAATGCAACTTCAGCGCATCACGCAGTTTTAGCTAATCAGCTGATTGTGGCTACTCCGATCGTGAGTCTCTTAATCGGTGATTCTGGTTACCTTACTGTCGGTCTGCGTGGTATGCGTTGCCAAATTCCTACTTCCTAAGCGTTGATTGTGCAGGATGAGGTGTGCGTTTCAACACTTTGGTGGCGTTCATGCGTTTAACCTCGTGATTGGTGAGGCCGTGCTTCTGTGGTCAGGAAGTCTTACATATTTACTCTAAAGCGAGAATAGCTCAAGATTCATATCTATAATAGACGACGATGAAATTTTCGCCAGACAATAAAAGGTCCACAGCTGAGCTGTCAGTCTAGGTTTCTCAGGATGTAATTTTGGTCAGATTTTTCCATAATAAAGTCGTTGTAAAAGGCACTTCTTGACTAGGTGGATAACTGTGCAGGCCTCAATTTGGGTCTTTAATTGACTATTGCTAATCAACTTTCTCAGCTACATTGTTCGTTAGACAAAAATGACTTCACCTAAAGGGACGTCCAACGCTACCCAGAAACTTAAATTGAATGCCACAAACACAAAAATCGCGCATGAAAAGAATTTCTATAGAATTATGATCACGTTATGTATAGGTGAACCAAACCGATAAGTTAGCTCCTGGCTTCTAATGTAGTGAACTCCCCACTCGAAGGGGGACGCACTTTTCTGGTCGTTACGCTTTTGCATACTGATAGCTGGGAACACTATCTTTTCAGAAGAGCCTATTCATGTCCATGATTCTGCAGTCTCATCGCTCATCGCTACGAGTATTACTTCTGATGCAGAAGTGCAATTAAACTACTGCAAATGCGTTGCACAATGAGGTACTTCAATTACAGCTCTATTCGGAGCGTAAATATAGTCCAACTACGCCACTAGTCCTGCGTGTTTGAGAGAAACCTGTTACACCCAGGTATACTGAAACAGTTTCAATAATAATTTTGGCCCCACAGTCGTTCTCTTCTTTGGTCATTGTTTACGTGAGACGTTTTGGTAAGGTCTAGCAGTCCGCTCGCATTCTCTGAAGCTAAATTTGTGCGAAGAGCATTACCTTTAGCAGTAACAACGTGTCAACATCACTTAACCTCCAGTGGCCTACTACAGGAGCGCCAATCAACGTATCTTGTGATATCTTGCATCATGTTTTTAAAGGAGCAGATCGAGTGTTTGAATATCGACGCGAACAAAGTGTAATTAGGGTTTGAATCGCTAGCTGCTTTAAAGGCCGCTGGTAATGAACTACGAAAATGAAGCAAATGAGCACAAGTATTGTCCTTCATAAAAGCCGTCAGCTTTAAAAAAACAGATGGAGCGCATGCATACTAGTGTAGGATAAGCCAAAGTACGATTGCATGCTTTCTAGTAGATGCAAATGTTAATGTAGTCCTATTGTGCATTCGTCGCGTTCCTTGTCTCTGATCATAGAGAGTAAACGAATTTCAAGCACATTATACAAATAGGGTTCTTTAAATCTTTAGTGTTCCTAGCTCGGATAGGCTGGGGGACTGCAGGCGGGGCCCCAGAAGTACAAAACGGCTAAAGATGGAAGAGCCAACATAAGCAAATGTGCAGTTAATTGCCTCGAAACCCTTCGGCGTTTGCCCATGTCTCTAGGTCCTAATTCAGAGGATTCGCAACGGAAAAGAAGAATCCAAATAAGTATCAGCTACCCATTTAAAAAATGTTCATTATTCAGGCATAAAATACACTTTTAATTAGAAGAAATACTATGCTGTTTGGGAACAGCTTGAATATCTTGGGGTGACTGTAGTTCTGTGGTAACTGTTTAATAATAACTGATAGGTAAGGATTTTCCTGATACACACCAAATGCATTCGCAAATTAATGAGTAGTGCAGAAGTAAACCCAGCTCCGATGGTGTGGCGTATAGCCTAGGCCTAAGAACTCACGATGAACCAGCTCAATTTGTCACAGTCTATTTAGTCAGTGATACTAGTCTTTCCAGATTTTCTCAATAAGCCATAGCTTGAGAGGAAAAGGCACGAAGCATAAACATCCTATCTATCGCCATAGTCAAATAAGGCTGATGAAGCGAAACCAAAATGAGTGCGTATGCACTCGTTGACGACCTTACTCGACATCATCAGCTGATGTTGGTATTTTCACCTAATTTACTGCGTTTTCCTGTGTTTATGCGCAAAGTTGCCATTACGTACACAGTCCTTGTAGGTATTTCGTGGTATAAAAATTTGCATTGAAGAAAAGGTGGACCTTTTGCAGCCATAATTTGGAAATTCCAATTTAAGCTACGGGGGATCCGAAATTAAGCGGCCTTGAAGGGGCTGAGAGCGATTTGTATTGGCACATGGGTGCACGGGTCATGGCTGAGATGGCGAGAGTATGCCGTGACGTTCACCAGTGCCGCGTGCTTGGCACGCGCATACATGCACTCGTGGGTGCATCCGCACCTTGGATGTCAGCTGGGTGCGTGTGTGTGAGCGCGAGTTGGTTTACAAAAATGCGTCACATTGACGTGCACATGTGCACTTCACGGGGGCAAGGTGTGGCCTGTCACTCTTTCCCCAGGACGAACTGTTAATGGCTTGGTTCAAGGTCGCATTCTACCGATAAAAGCGCTCTCGAAAGTCCCACTAAACTCAACCACGCTTTAAACGCACTGCCTCTAACCCACCACGGCGGACGCAGTTAACACAACTATGTTTATATTTTTACCACCGTATTTAATCTTTGGGATTTTACTCTTCTGCAAGGAACAATAAATAGCTATAAAGGAAAAAGCGGAAAAAATGGGGAATTTGTCGACAAACACAATTCGCATCAACATAAGCGAACAACTCATCGTTATAAATGCATGTTCCCAAACAAAGCACCACTAAAACAATTCCCAAAACGTGGATGCTACTGGATTATGGTGATAGAAACTGTCAGTGCAAAGGCAGGTGGGCTAAAAGGCATTCCAATTTATGTAAAAATAACAATAAGTAGACCAGTAGACATTCCCACAGACGACTCTTAAGAAGGTAACGTGCGCCCGCTGTGACATGGTATAAGTTGGCAACGATAATACAACGCAGTCAACCGATGAGATCCTATGAGAAAGTAGGGCTTTTGCAGCCTATCAATGGCTTTATTCGCCTTCCTGCCATCATCATCATCACCATCACTATCATTATCGTCATCATCAAAGGAACATAGATATCACAGCAAAAGACACCACTAAAGGGCTGAGCTTACATCACTCGGCTTTCGTCCCAACAATCTCCAAAAAGCGTTTGAAGACGTGCTCCGATCTCCATGTCGCATTTACAGTTCAAGCGCTCATTCAGCACATTTGAACGTAGTAGTCACGACTAGAACTCGACCCCTCGTTAACATACAGCCGCATATCCACAAAACAAGCCAAAAGCACTTTTTCCTGGGCGCAGGCCCCCCTCCTCTCTGACATAAGTCCGCAATGGAAGTCACCAACCGTGATTACACAAATGCAGGAAACCTATCCAACTCTGGAATTTTGTTGCTGGTTTATACAAATAGTAATAATAAAATATGGTGATGTGTTTTAGTGCAATTATGATTTTACAAAACATGGTACCCATATAACATAAGTAAACACAATGAAAGACATAGCTTTATTAAGAAATTGATTCGTGCCAAGGTATTTATTAACGATTTTAAGATGAAAACGAGCAACGCCAGCTCACTTCGCAGCCACTTTTTTCTGCCAGGCAACCAATAACTTCGACATGTCGCGTGTCTAAGCAAAAAGAGCGAAATCATTATAAGGGTCTGTAAAATCGATTTGCGACTTAATGGAAAAATTGCATAAAGCTAAATAAAACAGGCTTAGTACAGGGATATTTTGGCCATAGACAAACTAAGTGACACTTCGAGTGAGCACTGACAAACTGACAATGAGAACTGATAAACCCATCATCATCGGCAGAAAGCACACCAATCAATGCGAAACAGAATGCGCTTAAGATAATGCGGGTGCCAAAAATATAGCCTGCTTATAAGACCAATTTCGCATATGTACATTTGCACGTGCAAAAGGGGCGCTATCGTCAAATAAGGACTCTTAATTTCAAAATCATATAAAGGGGTGATGTTGTAGCGATATTGCACGCGGCAGCAAGTAGCCTGAATGCCCTTTTACTGGTAACTAGGGCGAAAATAAATTCAGACAACGTTGATCAAGACGGCAGGCAACAGACGTAGCTTGTGCACGAGGGCATTGTAGTGCGTAGTGAGTAAGCATCTTGTGAACGGAGACGTGAAATCTGCGGCCACTTATAGAAGCCCTCAAGCTCAGTACAGTGATGAGGCGCTCAGTCGCGGTCTATTCAAATGACTGGCTGTACGTCCGTCAGTGACAATTCGGGCCGTGGCGGTTCCTAATACACAGCACAGTAGTCGTTGCTGTGATGATTCGCACGTGAAAACCTAACTCTGGATGATCGATGTACAACCTACAGGGAAAGTACACAAGAAGCGATTCTTCCTGTGGAAAGGTGAAAACGGTCATCCACGAATATTCACAAATTTTGAAGTTTGTGGACGTCGAGTGTCGAGACAGGCAATCCGTTCTAGGATTATTGTGCAGCGCTGACACCCTTTCCTATCAAAACTGCTTTCCAAGTATTAGTTAAACGACAAATACGTAAATGAAGCGGAAGACCATGATGGAGAAATAATGCCACTTTCACCCACTGAAGCTTGCTTTTCTTCTATAAATCCCAAAATTTTGCTCGTACATAACGACAAGTACGCAGATTTATAATGAAAAGCTCCAAACTAACCGTATTCGCATAGGTCTCAAGAAGCCGACTGCTTTCATCTATGAAATCAGATGCTTGCACTTCCTGCTCCACATGCTTTTGTTGGATAGTCGCGAATTTCGCCTTCAAACTTGACAGGTCTGAAAGTCAAAATCCAATCTCCTAACACAATTAAAATAACACTAATAACACTAATAACAATAACACTAAAAATAACAAAATAACACTAACGAATAGAAAACTGCGCCAAATTATAAGTGCTCCTACTCAAACAGATAGAATTTCCTGTGAATAACTAACTATAACTCAGTAAGCAGAACCTATTATAATTCTGGTGAACGAAAAAGGCACTGCGGATGTCAAATTCAGTTTTAAAATAATGTCATACCATGAAGCAAGGGACTTCTTAGTGTGATTTCGCCTCAAGTGGAAAAACATACTTTGACACGTCGATGCACTGGCCTGCCCGACAAAGTATTTTGCAGGGATCGATGGGTAAAACAAGCCCTGTACTATAAATTTGTTTTATGCGTCACTAAATTCGGTTTACATGAATTAAGCGATAAAAACCTCGGAGTAAAAGCCATACACAGTACCGACGATGACGAATAACCGGATGAGCCAAAAAAACGGTTTAAGATGTTAGTAGGAGTCAAAAGGCTCTTGTAAACAAACATTTTTACACGATATCAATTCTACATCCCTACGCGCAGATGAAAATGATTCCACTTTTATTTATCAAACAATCAGAGCAGAAAATCTAAGTAAAAAGCATTGTACTGGTTCAATAGAGGATGAAAGGATACATTAAAAGCAAACGATGATGGGCTAATTCAAGTACTAAAGCAAAAAAATCAGATAATAGCTGCCGTTGGTTAACAAGCACTTTGATAGGCGATAATGAGGAATTTGAAAGCATGGGCACAAATACAGAATAAAAATATAAAGAATAAATTGAGCAACGGAACAACAATCCTGATCTATCTTGTAAAGTGTGGGCTGGAAATTAAAAGTAACATCTCTAGGAGCTTAATAGATTCACCATAGATATATGAAAGTGGTGGCTTAATTCAAGAGATCAAATACACTGTCCACACACCTAATTTAATAGTTCATATAGAAACCAAATCATTGTTACTGCAAAGAAAAAGTCGTCCGCATAAAACAATTTTTTGTGGTAAATCAGTGCCACCAAAATAAATTCCAGAAATAAAGGGGGAGCCAGGCAACATTGAATACCAGGAATTAATACGAATCAAGCGCAATAAATGACAGATATAGTTAATTACTTACCCGAATAGGCAGGATGATTGAGTACAGACTTTAGGGATTGGAGAGCCTCCAAGGCCCGGGCAGTTTGCAGCATTTCAGCCTCAACTAGAAAAGGCATGCAACTTAAAAGCATAGTAGACAAGAATAATCAATTGCTAGATGCAGTAATTTTATAACAGGCAAAATGTGTTAAATTTTTTTCGTAAAGTAGGCAAGCATGGAACGACACAATCGTGCTTCCTATTAACGGAGTATGAAGGGTCGATTGGATAAAAGTTAAACACGGACAGTAAGGCGTGATATGAACTTACATTCATTAAATCATCAAAGTGCTTATCTCTCGCACTACAGGCGGAAAAGCAACACGTAAACTGCGTTCCTTATTTACTACAAAGCCACGAAACATTATACCCAGGGATACGTTTTGTGCTGACGCAAAGGATTGACACCCACGAAAACAATTTTGTGAAGGTACTAGCTTCGGGCGGCCAAACAATATAACGATAAACTTACGCGAGAGAATGATCCTGATTTTGGCTGCATTGGCCACTGTTTGATCGTCCAGAAAATTAGGATCCATGTACTTGCGCAATTCGCTGCCTGAAAAGATTAGGTTATTAAAGAATTGCATGTATTTGAACCTACACGAATGGGTAAATGTAGACAACGCGGCCACACAAATAGAAGCATAGGCAAATAGTAAGAATGGGATTTACAGATACAACTAAGGACAAAGCGTTTATGTTTGTGCGAGAGGAAAAATATGAACACCCAGTGTTGTACATAGTTTGCATGCTGCAATAGACTGGAATTCCATCTTAAGCATTCGTAAGCCATAATGGAAAAGAGGAAAAAACAAACACTGAATAATCCAATAATAAACTCTAATCGAATGCGGTAGATTATGCTACTGAAAAGTTATTAAGAGGCTCACTTCTCTCCAAAATCTCCTTAATTTTCGGGTATTTCTCCGCCAGTGATAGTTGCTTTTGGGCATCGGCTATCAAATCCGATACGGTCTATTGCGAAAAGATCAAGTATTAATAATAAAGCTCAAGCAAAAGTAGTCGAAACAAATTGGTATACCAAGATATTCCCCATTACTTTCTTATTTAAGTGAGGCTACAAACGAAAACAAGACAGCACCGCAAATATACTAGCCTATTCAGAGATAGGTCACATAGTAACCGCCGTTATCATATATTGATGAGAAAGCATAAAAATGACTTGATTTAAGGTTACCTGATTGGATGATGTTTGAAGGGGCATAGCTGAGGCTCCAAGGATCAGGCGCTCCAACTCATATATGCGACTCTCAAGAAGATCAAGGTTCATCTAAAACTACATAGCGTCACCATCAGTAATAATGGGCAATGTTGCAAAAGAAGGAACAGTTGTAATTAATGGCTATATTTATATAGCAGTGCTACGTTGCGAATGGTGAAGACTAAGGCTTGTTGCTTGGTTGAGGATTGCGCAGAGATTGTTTCTTTGCCCCGAGATCAACGAAGGAATATTGTGAGAAACCATAGTATTCTTGAACCTTGTAGGGAGAAGATTCTGTTGCAGCAGCTAGCGGTTGAGAAGACCTCAACACGACGTTTGACGTGGGCTTCGCTGGGACATTCGTTTGATGTTGGAGGTTTCGGATGAGATGGATCCTGTGGCCTTTTACTCTGCCAAACCGACACAGTGCCTAAGAAATGCCATATTTAAAAATATGCATACCTGAAAGAGCGGGTTTAGAGCCTGTGTGCACATACGCCAACTGGAGGAGAAAGGGTAGATTTTAACAATCAACTAAGAAGTCAACGGAGTGGATAAAATAAAATAAAGAAATCATAAAACCAAAATTTTATTAGGTACTTTGTACAGATACAAGTCACTAATTTAAAGGATTCAAGTCGATTCATTATAAATACGATGGCAACACAGGTTTTCCCCATACCTCTGGTACCCATGGTTTATTTGGAAGGCGCAATCGATTCAACTTTTGGCATATTGACTAACATATCTCCTAACAGTACGTTTAAAGGATTCTGGGTCACGGATGTATTCTTCGGCGGCATTCGTATTTAGTGCGTCGTTGAAGTCACAAAGATCAGAAAATAATGATTCCAAGCCCCATATCACATCGGATAACTTCCTAGTGGGAGCCCAGCCAGAAGAATCGAGTGAACTTGGTCTTAGAAGACTAAGACAAATCCTTCCCTCCTCATCAATATTTGGATGCCAGATTCTGGTAGTACACTTTACGATTGGAGGGACGTGATTGTAACCTTCAGGGACAGTAAACTCAAAATGAAAGTGACCCTTTGCCCAAAATCCATCTACTGGAGAGATAATTATTTCAAATTCGTGGAGCTTATCGGGGTCGGGATAACGCAGACGGCAGTGTTGTGATAAATTGGATTTTAGGTCTGTGAGCTCCTGTGCTAGGAGTCTATCACGGATGGAAGCATTTCTTATAGAGGGTGAGGAAACTGAATCTGGTTCATTCGAAATTTGGCCCTGCTGCCTTTGACGAATTTTGTCAGCCAAACGAAGCATACTTACTAAAACTACCGGCTTCTATTGGAGGAAGGAAAAACAAAAATAGTAGATGGAAACATAAAAAGCCGCCTTTCTTAATAAGCCATTAATCACCAACATTTCGCTATAGACCGATAAATTTTCCAGCCATAAAATGTTAGTTTAATATTCTTGATAGGTCCTTCATTTTAAGGCTTCAGTTATTGGATTGAGGCATATTTTCATAGAACTAGATGTCACTCTAAGTGTAAGTCAAAGCCTTAAAAATTTATCTTTTATTGTAGCTTTGATGTAACTTTTCATTTCAACTCTTGTAAAATGAATATTCATATGACGTCTTATTTGGGAATAAGCATATGTTCATTAAAAGACAAGCACCTAATTGTAGCGTCCCGGGACTCCCTGAAGACGAAAGAAGACACAATACTCGGGCAGAATATATATACTCAGCACAAAGAAGGTGTCTGGGCTATTGGCATGGCCCAAAAGGCCAGCCCACCTAGCGAGGTACAAGGGGGCTAATTCGAAGTACAAAAAGTGGCGCCTCACCAGAACCGAGGGATAAACCACTATCGTATTACATAATATCTAATCAAGGGTTTCTTTAAAAAATTATTTCGGTAATGTCCGCAACCATTCTTGATTGCTTCCTTCATTTATGAATGTATGTAATTCTCTTACTGTTATGATGGAGTGCGAAATCATAAACTGGATTTGAGTAATTTCACACGCCCTAAGCAAACTAAATACCATTGCGAATGTGGCAGTGTTTATTAGCACCTCTACAATTGCAAGGCAACTAGTGTTTAATGGTGAAGAAAATTTAAGGAAAGTCCAAGAGCACAAGAAGTCATGATGGGGATTCGGGGTTCTTAAGAAAAGAAACATAAAGAGCAAATGACAAGCAGATAACGCGTTGCTGTAATTGCGAAATTCTAGGCATTTCTAAAATAGTAAATGCCAATGTTTTGATGTTATCTTACGAACTTACTAGTCTCAAAACAATCGTCAAAGCATTTATAGGTGGAAAACACAAGGGGCCTTCTTATAGTAGTAAATTTTATTTCAGGCAGAAGGTAGAGCTGTATTTAAGATTTACTATCAATATTGTACAATTTTTGTGGTAACAGCTAAGCTATCTGTCCAGATCCTCTAAAGCAAATCAGCAATTTTCCACCGAAAACTGTAGCCTCCTGCGAAAATTGGCATTTTGATCCCTTTGCAGCCTCATGTGTCATTCGAGAAACGACAACCATGATGACAGTATTTGTCGAGTTAATTAGTACCATTGTATAATTATAAGAATGTGACTCATATAGCTGTTTAAGAGCAATTATCTAGATTAAATTAACTACTCAATTTCGCTGCATTAGGGGAACGGAACTCTTGAGCGATTTGTACAATCAACCCATGTTCCCAGCTTTTTTATGCCATTAGAATTTTACAAACGGCCGATTATACAGCGTCTTTTTAAATCCTAAAATTTAGTGTATATTTAACTAGGATACTTTAATGACTTTCCCTGCTGAAAAGTTTATGTGAGCCTTGGTTTGCGAGGCGCGACTTCCAAAGCACCTTGCTTTTCACATACCTGTACACGTGAACGGATGGCGAAGAGCAAGAATCACAGCACGCATCATCAAAGTACGTTTGTTAGTTTCATACGTAGCTTCGTAAAATAGATAGGAAAAATCACCGTAACGGTATTTACAGGCCTCCCAAACAGCGGTTCCCCTCTCTAAAAGGCGTAAGTTTGTCGTTGACCGCCCATCGTTTTTTTAGGTTGATCCAAAGTTTTTGAGGAATATGCGTTTTGCAAAAAAACACAACAAGAAGACGGTCAAAGTTTCCAAGCAGTGAATAACAAACATTTCCAGAGGCTTTTGTTGATTTTGTTTCTGATGTTTCATTGTTGGATGGTGCACGTTTCGGCTCTGAAATTGTTTTGGGGTTGCTAACCTGGGTCAAAGTTTCTTTTGCTAAGCTTATAGTGTCTAGTTTGAGGTGCTAGTTCAGTGGTTGACGGCGTTTGCGGTCTGTGGAACACGCGGTGGCGTCTTATAGCTATGACGGGTCGCATCGTATGCCCCCGGTCTCCACCGCATCCCCCTCTTTCTCGGCTGCGGCTTAGGGAATGCGAGTCTTGCAGCATCTGCTCTTTCGTCTTAGGCGTGGATGATTGCTCTTAGTGTCAGGGTCTTGGGACCGCTGGTGCTCTGAGTAACGGCAATCGGCGATTATGTTTTGCGGGTTGTCGTCGTGTTCAGTGTTGGTGGGGTGGGTGGTGATGGTTACTAGGGTCTATTGGGGGATGGTCGTCGGCGCGTGCGGCTCCGGTCGCCCACTCGGGGTTGTTCCGGTGCGGGTCCAATGGTGCTGGGGCGAGGTCTCGGTTGGGGGGGGGGGGGGCTCGATACTGTGTCTGTCGCATGATCTCGGGAGGGGCTGCGCAAGCCCTAGCTGGTGTGGTTTGCGTGACCGACTATGGGTCCTCCAAGTAGAGGGCTTTTAACTGAGATCGCGAGCGGTGGTGGGTGTGGTCGGGGCCTGTGGGGTCGGGTTGGCGCCTATACTAGGGGGTACTAGGGCACTTTGTGAGGATTGGTGCGGGTGTTACCTGACATTCCGAATGATGGCTCGGCTCTTTTCGTGTGATAGGCTCAGAAGAGCGTATTAGCTTAGCAAATAGTACCGGGGGGTGTGAATTCTGGGGTAACAGGTTGCAGTCGACACGCTCTGGTATTGGCGGGGAGGCCAGCTGGTATTAATAGAAATGACTAAAATCCAGCTTCCCTCGGTAGTTCCTACGATAGGCCCCGAGGTTTAGGATCCAAACACGGAAAGTCTCGGAATTCAAGTGTTTCCGGCCAATTATGTGCAATACTTAGTTCCGTTAGACCGCGTAAGAGCTCGTGAACGCAAAGAAGCATTCCCAGTAATCTGGAGCTGGTTTCAGGGAGCTGTGGAGATTTTGGAACAGGGTAGGATTTGCGCTTTCAGTAATTTTGTTTGAGATAACAACTTGCCAAGGGAGTTGGTTACCTAACGTCTCCGACAAAAATTTGCTTTGACCTTAAAAGTGTCGACTACAGCGTCAGTATCGTCAACTTGGAGTTGAGTGGAATCGACCTTTCAACTGAACTGTTGTTTTTGTGTGATCTATTTAACTCATCATTGCCAAAATCTGTATAGCGGACGGGCCTCGCTCCGACTTTCGGTAGATAATGTCTCGAACAGGAGGCTGTAAATCATTTGCCATCCGAACACCATATTTTCCCCACCGTGATTGCAGCTTTAGCGGGGGGCTTGCTAGAAGCTAAAACTCCTCTTTAGCGTATCGGAACGGAACTTAAATTTAGAATCTGGCACAACTGATATTCAAAGCTTGGCTCACATTAATGTGAGCCGGAACATTAACATAAAGTACAGGTAAAGTTAGGTCTTATCAGCGCCAACTTGAAACATTTTTAATCGGGAACGAAATTCACGTGTATTTACAAGACGCTGTGTGTAAGGAGTCGGTTCCTTATCTTATTTGCCGACAGAAGCACAAGTCGCTTAGATGAAACGGCTAAAATGATTTGAAGGATCAAACAGTTAAGTAGGCGAATGGACCAGTCATACCTACAGAAGTTGGATATTTTCCAGATTTTACGACACAAGAACAGAAAGTAAAATGTGCTGCAGAATCTGGTACTCACGGGCTAAAGCAGCATAGAAAGCAGTCCAAGTTCTGAGTACATGTGCTAAGTTAGCTCTTCTTAACGAAATAAGATACCGTGCTACTTGCACGGACGCTCTGTTTTGCTCTGATTTTCGTTTTTTTTGACAATTCAACCTCCGGCGCAAGATCTACTTGAGCTAGAGCCTGCTACAAAGTTTTTAACAGTGATTTTAACTGAAACAAACCAAAATATTTTCATTTTTGGATTAAACGGAGGGAACTATTAAGTAATGCAATGACAAACCCTACCCATGATCGCAAGAAAAGCAAAAAGAGATACCATCAGGATGTGAAAAACGATCCTCAAATGCGAGTCCGAAGAATAGCTTTATTCTAACAAATGTTGTATTTCAGATAAAAGACATAAATTGTGCCATTTTGATACAAATACAAACCCACAGAAACATAATTAGGTTGTGTTCTCATGGCAAGACGATATATTTTGCAACAAATAAACGCATTATTCCTACAGATGTTCCTTTTTTCCTGTAAACGATATTCACAAAAAAAGCAGATATCTGGAAGATAGTAATCATAATGACAGGCTTAACTTTGGGGAAGACTAGCCTAGCATTTGCCACCCGTCTCCGTAAGAGGCCCCGAGGACCCCATATTTCCTGACATTGAGTTGCATACTTATAACTGTGGGAAGTGTCATGGAATGAAGTAAAAAATGAACTTCAGGCTCATTGAGGATTTTACAGACATTTAAATACGAAGTTTGGATAAAGGCTGCCTAAAGATGCAAATGAACTTAACTAGTGTTCGTAGACGATTGCTCAATGGGTCCTATTGTTTAAGTGTCACAGGCGCAGTTTGAAAAGATGATTGGGGTGGAAGTCTGTGAATGCATGGAAGTGTTCAAACCGACTGATTTAACTCATTATAACTGCAAGAAGACCGTCTGGTTGGTCAAGTCAAATCGGATTACACTAAGATTTGCGATTAAACAAAGTAATGGAAACAACAAGAAGGAAGTCTCAGTTATTTACACTTTGTGGAAAACAAATCCATTTATGCTTTTTTGTTAGGTTTACTACAAATTCGACACCCTGATTATGGAACTATGCAAATATTGTCTAACATTTTGAGGCAGATTATTGAATAAAAGCGGCAAAAGTAGGTTTCGCGTCACAACTCACCTATTCACCTGTACAATCACCAGTGCAGTCGCATAGAAAAGCAATTTGCGGGCCTACAACTTTAGGGACATGGGTCATCTTCATTTCCTTATTTATGTCCAAAACAATCGTTCTGCATGACGCTGACTAGAAAAAAGCAAATATTGGACTTATTCAGTCTCCTAGTCGCTCTTATTAAAAAATGATATACAAAATGTCATAAGTTGCGCTTCAGAAAGTAAGACGACTACTTTATCCCTAAACCAGCGTCTGTGTATATGAAAACTAATAATTTACCTTTTTAAATAGTGGCCAGTAGACAGTAAAGCCGGTTCTTGAAGCTTTTACTTTTGGAAAATATACGTTTTAACGTCAATTCAATAATTCAGGCCTCAGAGTGAGTGACTAATGTGCGATGGGTAATGTCACGCATTTTATAGCCACACACCAATTTTCTGAATTATACTATCTCAGTGTACTGGTACTGCATAAGCCAAGTACCACATAAGGAAGTTCTCATAGACATAAGATCACAAATTTATAAGTGCACTCAGTGCAATAATGCAATCAGGTTGTCAACATCACAAATGACACGACGAAGGAAATAGGAGTATAATGAAAGACCCTGAGGAACAGGTGTGTCTGAAGTGGATGCGTAGATTAGAGCTTAATTTGGAAGGGTCGGCTAATGGTGGAGATTAGAGGCGAAGGTAAGGGGGACATGAATATGGGCGGGCTCGCAATCGCTGACGTGGCTCGCGCCGCCCCGCGTCCAGCCCTGCCTCGCCAGTGGTGACTTTGATGGAAAGTTTAGATATGTCCTACCAAAACACTGACATTCGTGAATATAAAAGTTGGCAAAAATGATTTAAATAAAACCGCGCGTATTGGCAAGCCCTTTGCTTACATGAACTAATCGAACGAATGAGGGTTCTGGAGAAATACGAATGTCTATTTCCACTGACTCTATCCAATTCTTCGTTTGCATCTGGAACCACGGGTAATTAACACTCCTGATCGCTATTGGTGATTGTTTTAGTAATGCATAATAATTTAATAAATTGGAGACAGCTGGTATTACTCACATTTAAAACTGGTGAAATTAGGCACCACAATTCAATATCGTCAAAAAAACTTGGATAGGTTATTCACGAATGACTAAATGGAATAGAGAGTGGTAGTTAGCATCGAGAAATTTGAAAACTCTGCCTGCAAATGAGTTAATGTAGCAATTTTGAACCGCCACTAACAACATCGGAATTGAACATTCAATTTTAATGGCAAAAAGTGCTCAGACTTGTAAGTATCTGAGGTAAAATGCATGGAGAGCCTTTCAAAATTTCCAAATACAGTTAGCTTTTGCTGACAATAGGGAAGGTTAATAACCTAATTTTACACTAAGGAAGAGAGGAATTGTAGCACTCTGTAACCAAATTATTATCATAAAGTTTATTGCTCCACAAAACTACATTTAGTTAAAACGCAATGCACTACAATTTTAGTGCTGCTTGAATGCACTTTCATAACTCAGCGCTTCTGTTTCGCTCATCTTTTTGACTGGCTAAGCAGCATTTACTCAAAACAGTTGTTTCAGGCTCCAGTCCATTGCTTTTATTTGCATGAATGGCTAACTCGGGTCTGTTAGAATGAAGCGAGTAAACCCTTTACAAGATTGTCATCAATCCCTTATTTTGGCTGGAACTGAGGCGTGCACCTGCATAGCCCTTCGTTACGTCAATAGCTGCATACGATTAGGTTGGGTATTAACTTTATTTGGCTACGTCTCCTGATTAATGAGGAATTTATCGAACTGCAAAAAATTAAAAGTGCTCAAATAAAATGAACGATTTTTCATGTGTCCAAATGTTACGTTTTGCATACCAACACCTTCCACATTCCACCCTCTAGCCTCAACTTTGCTGCCATTTTTTGTGTTTTAAAGCAAGTTTTTCACCAATAAGGTGGAATATTTCTTTTGCAAATCCGTTTTGTAGTAAAGTGGCACCTTTTAAGGGAAATTCAAGTTTAATTTTGCTAAACACTTGAGCAACAGAGTATAAATGGGCTATTATAGATAGCTTTAAGGAGAAAATATTGTGCTTACGATTGTCCAAGCCCTGACATTGAATTTGCAAGCCGTTAGTTGTTGTGGATAATTCGCGTTTGACTTAAACCGTGATGAATAATACACGAAAATTATGCGTTAGTAGACATTGAGAACCGCGCATTGAATGCCGACATTTAAGGCCGAGCAGATGAAAGAAATTGTAAGACTAAGGCTTAAATTGACACGGCAGCGACAGTCGGACCGTAGCATAAATATGGCCATTAGAGCCAAATTCAGCCGCTTATGTTCCATAATTTGACCTTGCTTTCATGAAAGCGATGGGCCGTCGGATATGTTAACCGAACAAAGGGCGTCTCCCTAGTGTGAAACGAACATTGACTGCAATGGAAGAGGGTAAAAATGTGGAAGGGAGTTCACCCAATTTATTGGTTCAGGCCCCCAATTAACAAACCCGATCATTATTGGCAGAGTTTACCGTGCAGCGATTAAAAAGACAGGACTTTCGGGATTCGTGAACACAATCAAACACATGTAAAAATAAGAGTTGACATCAATTGTTAATGCACGCTTATTTTATGTCCAAAAAAAATTAAGAATGCAACAGGAAGCAGCTTGATCTTTCATTCCCAGAATCTCATACGCATTTGACACACTGAGGATTGCCGGTCTTTTTCTCTCACCGGTTCCGGAAATAAGCGTAGTGCTGAAGGGAGACATTATTCAAAGCCGCATTCTACGCTTTTAATTGGTCTTAGATCACATTTGCTTATGTACTTAAGCCCCGTTCATTCTGTTGTTGGTCACTGAATGGGAGTGAATATAAACATAGATTGATTAACAGCCTGAATCATGATGAAATGCGGAAAGAACACGGCTAAAGTGAAAGTTGAAAATGTCATATACGCCAGAAGTATAGGGAAATTGATTACTTCTTGATAAAGATAGGGATATGTCTTAACCCCATGAGGATTTCGTGGCCTCAAATCATTCAGGGAATGGGGAGTGGTGTCATGACGTCCAAGAAAATGATTCACAGCTGATTTAATAAATTTGAAAAGCGAATAAAGCGAACCTTTCCGTTGGAGGAAAAAAATATGCACCCACTTAACAAATGCAGATATAAATGCTTATGGACTGGTAGAACTTTAAAAGAAACGGCACTGCCTAACTTCATTAAATATATCGGTAGTAGATTTCCTAGTGATCCCCATGCTAACTAAACAAATTAATTTAAAATAAAACGTTGGATTTGGAAAACACTTAAGTTAGGGAAGTTTAAAATTGGTAAAGTATCAGGTCTAATTCGGCAACATTCACTAATAAAAATATAATTGCTGGCAACAACTGTTCGCGTAATAAAAGGCGCTTACAAAGAGTTATTTGATAAGAATAGTTGTGTTCGATGTGTACTACTAACGGCAGATAATCTCGCAAAACCTTGAATTGCATGTATGTAATTTTTATCCTTTTAGTCACCTGCTATTTGAACGCATAACACCTTAAAACGTATTTAATCATAAATGTTGCATTGAATTCCACCACCCGGTTTTGACACCAAACATGTCATCCAGTGGGGAAAGTAAAGGCGAGTTGGTTGGGGTGTTCGAGTGTAATTGCTGCAGCATAAATGCTCAAAGACAAGGAACACAATAAACGCCGGAATTTTTCTAGGCTGCTAATTTTTGGCAATTTTTTGCCTCCGCGCAACATGTGGAATACTTTCAAATTTAATGGTGCATATCATTTACTATTTGGGATAATACAGACAGATTCAAAGTGTAAATGCAAAGGTAATTTAAATCACCCTCATACCAGATAAGAGTGTGATTCAATTCGCATTTCGTGTGGCCAATGCGATCGTACGAGAGGTACAAGGCAGTTTGTACACATGACACGTATTGGCATAGCAAATGGTGTAAGCCCGGTCGGCCAAAAGCATTAAAATGACATTGGCAGTTATGAATTGATAAAACGAGACGCAACTCCACAGTTTGGGCCAGTAAGAAGCAATGGGAAAATGGAAGGGAGTAATTAAACACACAAATAAGGTGATTCCCATAGCACCATATCGAAAAGGGGTGTATGAATAATTGAGCTATGCAAAAATAAGTTTTTATTTTACGATTATAAAGAAAACGTAAGGAGGGTTCGAACTTGAAACGCAATCAAGTTGCCAATCAGTCGTCCCAAAATTCAGTAAAGCTCTATCTTTGTAGTCAATCCTCAAATGTGTGTTCCCTTTTAACTCCGCTAAGCGCCTTCACAATTTATGATACTTGAACAGTGAAGCATGGTGGCATCGCGTGCCCGTGTGAAACAGCTCAATGACGCTCCTCACCTTCGTGTGTACTAAAAAAATAGCTAATGAAATATTGAAGCAAAGCAAGGTCATACCTTTGGGAAATGGGAGCAGCTATTTCGCATTTAAACTCCTGAAATGGAACTAAAATGTTGAACCAATTTTATTAGAGATTAGTGCTTCCATAAGATTACCGCCTATTAATTTTGGCCCAGCACAATCCAACATTAGCGCTAAATGATGGCAGTTAGCATTCATAATTCCTCTGCTGCTGACAAGTTTTTTAGTTTTTGAACTAACGATAGTTTATCTTTGTGAAATTGTGCGCGGAAGAAGTCAAGACAATGCCCTCAGTCAAAGTTAGCCCATATTTTATAAGGTGAAAATCATTGCGATTCATGTCACAAAGGTTGACTGGATTATTCATACCACAGAATGCATTCCATGATCTATGTTAGGATTGAGTCTGGGCAAGAGTACTCTAGGCTTTAGGCTCTAGGGTTCATTGGTCATAACAGGACAAGGACGCCTATTAGCAGTCCAAAGCGAGATACAAAGTAGAATGTATGACCACAGTTGGTGCTTAGTCTTCGATTAAGAAAAACAAAGCGTGAATTACAATGGTGTTATTGTGGAAGGTAGAGCATATTTTCCTAGCCTAACGCTGTGCTCGGAATCCAAATGCCAGTTTAATTTTTTGGGGCAAGAAAGTACGGAGTTCATCAAAGCTAACAAAACAGATAAATCGCACACATGTAAAGCATTCTTGAACAAAAATGCAATTTTCACAAATTGGTAAATGTCGCCAATTAATTTGGATGCCACAAGTTGATCCATTAAACTTTGTAAATTATGAAATCAACACGATAAAGTGTTGATAAAACTGTATTTGACATGATATGAGTATGACGTGATCCCCAAAGATTCTGCCTTAAACGTAAGTGAGTGTGATTTTGATTGGATAAAATTACAATTAGCACTCACTACACATTTATGTACGAATGTCTTTACTGTGCATTAATTGGAATTAGTTTAATCTCTGTCGCTAAGGTGACGTTGAACCATTCCCAATTTTTATCCAAAATGGCGGCTTAGAGCGGAATGACAAGCACGTCTTCTTCACACGAAGTTTTTGCGTATACCTTGATGACGATTGGTAAAATCTAGGATTCAGAGTGGCAACTGTATTTGCAGTGATATTTCCAACAATAAAAACGCTCCCGGTGATTCAGAACCTCTTGGTAAACATGAACATTATTGTAATGTGCCATCTAAGGCCTATCCGATGGTACCGCAGCCAGACGCAGGTCAAACAGGTGACTCGCTGGTGGTGGACGCGCTATGGACTGAATAGATGTTATATGGTAAATGGTGACATGTTAAAAACGCTAGGCGATATTGCATGCTTTTAGCTCTGATATGGTGAAATTTGCATTCATAATTGAAAAAGACACTTATTTATGACTGCTTAATACCTTTAACTCTCCTAGTTGTAGCAAGCGCTACCTTGTCTAGATCAGTTAATTGTTAAATCATTTTACTGGGAAAAGCCGGAAACACTCAACCTAATTCTTTAATAAAGTGTAAGTTTATTCGCAAACTCCATTGAAACAATGACTGCGTAATCTAACTGGAGCTTTTATGTTTTATTTGAGATTATAAGGTTAAAACTACCCGTTCTACTAGTTTTGGCAAATTTTTGAAAACTAATATTTTTAAATCGTGGCAATCAAGGGTTAAATATAAATGTGCTACCATCGGAAGCTTGATAATTTCCAAGTTACGAATTTTTTCCATTTTATATATAATATGTGCTTTTGTTCTTGGACAAATTCATTGCTTTTAACAGGCAACATTTCACCAAAGGCGCTCCTGAGGCTCCAAAAGTAGTTGCATTTAAAGATAGTCGCAAACTCATAGAGTGGTGAAAAAATAAGCCATTTGGATACCTCTAGAATTTTGTCCTGGCTACTCAAATCCGGTTCATTTTCAGCGACTGAATGGTTTTGGAGAAATAAGTGTGCCTGAATGATACGACACAAGAAAGTTGGTATAATATGCCTAGAAAAGATTTTTATAATGTGGAAGCCATCGTCCTCAGCATGGCGGCAAAAGGACGGTTCATTTTTACAATAATCGCTGCAGCAATCGCTTGCAGGCGAGGTCACCCTGCTAATGTAGTGAGGCGAATATATAAAAGACTTGTCTTGCAATTAAGTTTTTTTTTTTTACTTCATGACTTCTAAAAATGCCATAGAATACCTTATCGACATTGGTTGGAAAGTCATGAAGTTGAAAAGGGCCTTAACTGCACACCAACTCTTAAGTGAGGCGCAAAGGAAAAGTCAAATCACTTAGTCGTGTCCAAGTGCACTTTCGCAAGCAGTCAATGGGAGTCTTCACTAAATCCCTCAAACTTGGCTTCTACTGTCTACGAAAGGTAAACTAAACGGTAAAAGTTGAGACAGGAGATTTTTTTGCACTGCGGTCGGTATTGCACTCTCCACTTCTTGTTTCGCGCCCTAAAAACATGAGTGCAGAAGGTTGGCTCACTTACTCAAATACGCAATTCTCCATTAAAAAAGTGCAATTCTTGCCCAAGTATGTGAAATGGAGTTCTCTCATGAGTCGCATTTGAGCAGGAACTCATAGTATTTTGCTTCCAACTACAGAGTAAATTGGGTCCAAGACGACCGCGGTGTGCAACCGAAGCACGTAACTGTTAAATAAAAGGCAGTCATTCCACCATGTAATTGCTTATAACAATAAATAATTAAGTGACTTACTTTAAGCGACAGAAAGCAAAAGCATATTATCTAAAATGGAGACATCAAATTTCGAAGTCGTTGGGTCAAGTAAGTGGATGAAAACCATACTGAATTTTGACAGAACAAATTATGATCATGACGAAATGGTTGTCAACGTCCATTTTGGCAAAAGGCGTCGCACATATCTCGCCCCTTGGTATAATGTAGAAAATCGAGGTGTTTCAAACTACTAAAATGCAAAATAAGACGACTGTGAATTTAGTGCGAGGCAGAATATTCTCATTATCCCAAAAAAGTAATTTAAACATCGGAATGAGGTCACTTCAAAAGGGCCTTAGCAACGTAAGTCCCCATTAAGCAAAGTATGTGCGCATTTAACCGAAAGCTATTAAACTTGGTCGTTTGGGATTTTCAACAGCAGGACACATCTTCTATTGATAGAAGTGACGTTGATCTGGATGCAAAACAGATTTTTCCATCCTCAATCCTCTCTTTGCATGATTGCAATGGTCTCCACTAGATCACGAGGTACCATGCAAAGTCATATGCCACTCATTTGTCGGAACCATAATAGTTGATATGTCCATCTACTGTGGCATGTATTATGTAAACACAAATAAATTGTGTCAGAAAAGAATAGTTTTAAATCATCTTAATACCTCACGAATTGTGCCAAAACTCCTATAGTGTATGCGGAAATGCTTAATCTAAAACCTAATACTTGGTTTTACTCTGCGCCCGAAGTTTCTGACTGTTGCTTAAGGACATAGTATTAATGAGTTTTACCCAGAAAGTCATAAGAAAGTGTTCGTTTTCCATTTGACATTCTTACGAGCAAATTATAAGTTTCATCAAGCAGGTTGGCCAAAACTTATTCGAATGTGGTCACTTTGGATCAGTTAAATAGGACGTATAAAAATAAGCTAGGAATGTGTCGGAAAGACAATGCGTATTTGGACTATAGATTTGTGCCGATTGATACTTAAAAAGATCTCTTGCCTCAAAGCTTGGCGAAGGCAAGAAAAACCAATCTAGAAGTTGCAGTCCATTGGGTAGAAACCAACCAATCCCGGAATTTCGATGGACCAGCCAAAAACCGCGTCACTAGTCAGTATGTGCCCGTGGTTATTGGGATAAAACAAACCCACCGCGACAGACACTTGATTTGTGCGAACAAAAATCAAAGTAATTTGGGATTAACTCCGAAATCCTGATGCATATAATGGAATTAACGCCAAATTACGTGGAAGTATAGAAACATAGTCCTGGATATATGCTCAGTCGTAAGTTACCTTGCTTCTAAGCTTTACATTAATTTTATGCATTGCTAGGTTCATAACATAAAAATAGCAAAAAGAGGTTTTATAAATCAATCCGCGTCTATAATGTAATATATTCAAATGCGTATTGGTATAATGCATAGCGAAATTGAATTGGTTTTAAATATTCCCCCTGAAATCCAAACAGGAGTCCGCCCAGGGAAACATTACGCTAAATAGCTGAGCACTTCGAAATGCAAAAAAGTCCAGCATGTTGCACAAACCAAAAAAGCCTTGACATAAAAGTATTTTATAGGGCAATTACTGGAATATTTCGCTGAAAGTGCAACGCGGAATTTCACTGGCAGATTCAGTCGAAACTATTTTAAATGCTTTTAGAACCGAGCATCATTGTACAAAATTTATTGCGAGAAGAATATAGTAAATTTTCATATGTGGATCTGGTACTTTGTCAAAAAAATCGTTTTGCTTTAGACCTCGAAATCGCAATTTCAATTTGATTTGCAGTGGAAACTTTAAATTACACGAGGCAGTTCCAAATCATGGAGAGACTAGTGAATGCAACTTGCCATGGCCTTTGGAGCCTTGATGCCAAAGCACCCCTCTGCATCGTTCGACTATGCGGGATTCAGGAGCGTTTGCCTTACTAGCACAAAACACTACATGAATGATGGCTACTAAATAACGTTCATAATGGGCGTTGACTGATAACTGGTACCTCGTAACGACAATGGTTGTCGCTTAGTCCATTACTTGGTATTCTTTTCATTAGACTAAACAAATCACTCCTGCTCTGGTATATACTATAAATACATTAATGGCAAAAACATTTCATCATGCAATATATGTAAATCTCTGTATCAGTACAGCGTTTCAAAATATTGGAAAATTCTATCCAGAAGCATTTATCTGGTTATTGCCTTTATGCCCATACTACTAAGTTTGATGTATGAAGTAGCGAAGAAACTTGTGAGGATTTAGCATTGGTACTTTGCATTCATAATCAACATGGAAAGTAAGATGCGACATGTTTAAGTATAATCAAACAACTCCTCGGAGATAATATGAGCGTATTTACCTTTATATCAAAGAAGACCGGTGGCATTAATAATGTTTGTCCCTAACGGTAACAGATTTGCTTCGCATGCTCATTCCGCCAGATAATCGTTGATTTGCATGCATGAAATAAAAGTGGCGAAAAATACTTTCGCGTGTAAACCTACGCAGCAGTGAACCTCGTAATGTACGCAGTAAGATCAAGGTGAACTAAATGTCAGGAGCTATTAGTGTTGTATAGCATAAGAATTACATATGATTCTTTGTTTGTGCAGATGAAATTTGAATTCTGAAATGTTTTCCCAAAGGTGAGGTGGTCGCCCAGATTAATGTAGCGTGGGAGAGTTAAGGGCAAATGTGATGTTATGCCCTTAGTTTAAGTAGTAGTGGAAAACAAAAGTGTCTGACTCCAAAACACCCCTGAATGTGTTTGGACTTACTTTATTTGTATAAAAAAGAGAGTGGTCAAGTTAATTTTCGACTTGCGAATTCTTGCGGCTGCAATATCGGTACACTACGAACAGTGGTTAGCAGTTGCCAACACTAGTGGCTTCGTTCGGGTTGGAGATCTAGTGTAATCACAGTACGCAGTACAGCACAATGCTTGCTAAAAATTTATGCGTTAGCATTAGTTAAAAAGGCACACAAAGTGAATATTTTCCGAAAATCACAAAAGGTGCTTTTAAAGACAAGTGCTGGCGGTTCCTTTTAACGTACTCATTATTGCCCAAAGAGCTTCTTTAGAGCCGTCACTGATAAATCCATCATGCCATTTACCTTCTCAAATAGAAAACTATCCTAAATTTTCAAAAGTTCAATAGTTGTGCCCTTAAGTTCTCGTTGGAGGGCGAATTTGAAAAGCGGTAAGTGTTAGAAAACAGCCCAATTCCACATGCGCCAATGAAAATTCTTTTAAGTTTTTACAAAACACGCGACTTTTATAACCGGAATATTTATTCGACAGTCAAAAATCCACTTCCTGAGTTCCTAATTACTGATAAAGATTACTTTGGTCTTTTTCTCAATTTGAAACGTTGTTAGAGAAGATGGTTCGAAATTTACTTGGCGTAAGTGACTTTGTATCCTAACACAAGTAAAAAGGGGGCATAAAAAGAGGCAGCTCTTTACTCAAATTGCAAAAATCATTGGATTCTTCGCATAATTAAGATGCCATTCAAACATAAATCAACATTTTCAGGCCTACTAATAGCGGACCTGATGTCAAAATTTCATGGTAATGCACTAGGCACACTTCCGGTTCCTGAGAAATATTCCATACCCACAGCATAGCACATTACAGAAGGCGTAATTTGAAAAATGTTATGGTTATGAAAGACTTAACAGCTCTAGCACATGCACATACACCAGGAAAGGATTATAATAAGTAAGTTATAAACAATAAAGGCACAAATTCTGCTTAGATTCCGGCTTTTTGAGTCCTTTTAACTAACCTTATGGAACACCATGTACGCCTTTTGCAGGAGATCATACTATGGACTAAGTGTCATGACCTAACTCAATTTTATCACACCATTCATTTGATCTCACAATACACTCCATCCATGTATATTTGTATCTATACAATTATATACATATGTGTCCGAAACTACAAATCCATTTTATGCAAACCGAATAAGCAGTAGAAGTGCCTTTGGCCGAATTTATCACGAAAGGCAAACACCCAAAGTCTAACTTAACCATTTTTCACAAACGCAAGCTTTCGATTTTCGAAAGTCCTAATGCTCTATGCAATATGCACGTATATTATATCAATCTGTTGACGACGCTTATCACATTATTAAAACAGCTTAAAAATTTTTGAAATAAAATATTCCACTGACAGTCAGAGGATCTGAAATTGGGTCACTTTTTAGCCTTTCTGATTAAATTTTAACATGATTAGATGTTTTGCATAAAAAGTAATTTTGGACGAGAGGTAGTAACCGCTATAACCGTCCACTTTTTACAGCGAAAATGCAAAACCACACGTCTGCCGCGTCTGCCTACATTCGTCCTGGAACACCCGGCGATGTAGTCAACCTCTGCATCGGTGGGCGCCTGTTCATCACACGGCGGGCGACACTCTACCGCCTCCCGGACAGTCGTCTCTACATGATCGCGACACAGGGCGAGGAGGCTGCTCGGGCCGCCTCACAGAAACACGAATACCGCTCCCAACTGTCCTCAGACAGCCAGTACACCGGTGAATACACTGTTGGCGGTGCTACATTGCTTCCGAACCCTGTCGCCTCCTCTCTATTTGGCAACAAGGATTTGATATCAGCCGCAGCTGTCTGCAAAAACCAACTCTACAATACATCTCCAACCGAGAGTCACTCCACCCGCACGATGGATAATAACCACTCGTATCCTGGCACCCTTTTACAGGATAAAGCAAGCGTTGCTCCGCAGCCCGTGTACTTCTTTGATCGGGACCCCGAAATCTTCCGATTTGTGCTGGACTATTACCGCACTGGAGAGCTTCATCTGCCGACAAACATTTGCGGTCCATTTGTTAGGAAGGAGCTGATTTTCTGGGGTATCGACGAGTCTCTGATCGATCCCTGTTGCATGCCTGCCTACATGCGGTACGATGAGGAGAAGAGGACCAAGAAAACACTTTTTCGAGATTGTTTTGAGGATATTGATTCTATGCAAAATCTGGTCAAGTTTTCCCGTGGGTGGAAAAAATGGCGATACAGAATGTGGCTCTTTATGGATCACCCTACGTCATCATTTGCTGCTCAGGTAGGTCTTATATGCTATAAAATAAAAATTTATACTAAATGGAAAGGAATGAGCTAGGCACTAAATAAAAAATTGGAAATTTACGAATATTTCAGAGTCGCTCAATCTCTGATCATATTCTATAATGGTTTTTAATCGCCTATTTTAAAATCAAATGCAATACTTAACCAATTAAAACCTCCAATTGAAAAATACTTATAAGATCAAGTTAGCAGCTTCCTGCATAGTTTCGAACTTTGAAGCTTGCTCACAACCCGAAATCCTATTTTGCGATATTTGCTCAAAGCTTTCGATTTCTGCAAACGTCTTTAGAAAGCAAATTTCATCCTCAGTAAACTCTAGCTTCTATAGCTTTATTTTCATAAGATCAATAGGTTTTCAGCCTCTGTCCTCCTGTGTACCTGAAAAGTACAAAGTAGTCTTGACGATGTAAACTGGAATATCTGTTCCATGACATTTTACGTAGAGATCTTCTTTCACGCAGTTGAGCCTTTACATGGCAGCTTTATTTTTCATGCAAAAATATGGAAGTCTGTTATCCAAATTCAGAGATCAATTTTATAAGAGTGGATTTGCGTACCATCTATTGTTTGTGTCGCGTAGACTGGGAAGGCGACAGTGAATCTATGAATTTTTTTCAGTTAGCTATCTCCAAACAAATATCCAGAGTTCTGCATTAAAATTTGTAAATATTCTAAGGGGTCAGGAGGCTATAAAATTTCATAAAACATCCATGTTTTTCCATTTTGAAAGGAAATCAAAATTATGCGTTCAATAAACAGAACGGGAGTTTTTATGCAAATAGCACTCTCCTTCAATCTTTTTATCATCATGGCTTTGGCAGTTGAAATAGAACCAAATTAACAAACAATTTTAATGGCTAGTAAGAGTCTTCCTAATTAACCAGAAATGATTATTTACTGAAAGGTAAAACACGTCTCTGCTGAAAAAGGATGAAGAGCACTTGAAACAGCAATTTTTTGGAAATCAGGAAGCCAACTCTGGGTAGGAAAGTGAGCTAAAATAAAATCCTGCTGTAGTTGCGATTTGTGTTTAAGCTTTCAGTAGTTATTAAAATTGTGAAAATGATTTTTGGCATGCAGCTCTTCGGCACCTTTGCCCGTAATTTCTACTCACGTAGTAGTCTTTGGTTATGGCCTGTGTAATTGGCGATGTGATTGCTATTGGCGGAACTGCCTTGGAGGTAACGGGCATTTTATCTTTCAAAATGCATGCGCTTCGCGATTGCACCGTCTGACATCCACCCTCGCGGCCTTCGATTTTTAAAGTTCTGTTGGTGGCCAATCGTGTGCGTCAAGTGGCCGAGACCCTTGTTTGCGTCACTTAACCTGCAATCTGCAGCAGCGAATGAGATGCTCTTGTGTGCAGCGCCTCCATAGGCGGAAAGCAAGGCACATATTATCATAAAGTAACTATGTAAGCTTAAGAAAACATGGAATGTGTATCAAAACTCTGCTCCACTAAGCCAAAAATAATCCCCTCCAAACCTCGGCTAATTATTCCCCAGTCAAGCCGCTTATTCCACTGCATGACTGGTCGATGTTAGCCTAAAATTTCGGGGAAGGTGGGACGTCTCCTATGCTGACATCGGACATGTTCAACACAAGGTTGCCATAAAAATACTAATTAATTTTATTACTCCTCTGAAGTGTGCCTAGGACTTCGAACAAATGCCAAGCAGCTTGGACTACTTTTTAAGGAATGCAAAAACCGAGCACAGATAAACTGAAAAGCCGTTTATTAACTCACAAACAACAAATCTCTGATAACAGATAAGTTGATCAACACCGCGCTAATTAAAATCATAACATATATAGACGTTAATCTTCATTCCACTTTTTCTAAAATCATGTGCTTAAATTATCATAAACTTGAGTTATTCTGTGTTTTAAGGAATTATTGCGAGATTCCAAGTCAAAATGGATATCCGCAATTACCAAAAGCTTTTGACAATCTTTTCTTAAGAAGAAGTAAGTTAATGGATGTCTCCGACTTCCCCAAAGCTGCACAATTAATTTAAAACAAAGTTATCAAATCTGATCTGATTAAAGGCATAGTATTTAAAGGAAAGATCAGCGAGTGAACTTAGGAGCCAAAAGGAAAAAGGCAGATTTCAACAAATTCGCCAGGGAATTTTGCATACTAAACTTGAGCATTTACTATGCTTCCTGTCATTTTGCAGGCAGCAACAGTTTCCCTCGAATCTTTGCTTAACTAAAACAAGACTAATGTACTATTTGGGTACTAGCCTTGTTCTCAACTTGATGGAAAGCTCATTCTGCCTCACGGATATTTGACAGATGGCCTTTTGAAGTACAGATTTGTGAAGTCTTCCCATTGCAACACCACTTGCTTAAGGCTTTTGGGAACACTCATGACATTTGCATTTGAATGTTCTTTCATTGATTAGTCAACTGACATTTATAGTAGCCAAAATTTCTCCGCATTAATTGTGTTTTCCCTATTTTTTAATACAAAAATATTGGGAGCAAGTAACTAAGATGTTACGATGATTTAAGACAGGCACCTGAACCAACTATTTGTTATGGTTAATAAACTTTTACATTGTGTTTTGTCAATGTTATGTTCATTCTTACCAATCTTATATTAGTTCCCCATAGTTTGACAAGTGAACGATTACTATCAGCTTTAGGACTGCCCAAGCTCTAAAGTTTAAAAGGCTTAATCATTGTTTTCAACTCTTCTGAAGGCGACGTTTGTTTTGTTAAGGCTATGCATTGCCACATGGAGTGTTTAACTCCTTATTTGAGGTATGTGACCTTGGCGTTTAATGCTTGTGGTGGTTTATTTTCGTGCAAACGACGCACTTTCTGAGTGAATGGAATGCAAAGCTCGGTTAAAAAGGTGGCTAGTAGTAGGGCGCATTCAACCAAACTCGTATTATTTTTGACAAGCGTTCTTGAAATGGAAGTGGGCGCACCACATAGCGGTGCGTTTCGCATTATCGTTTGATTGTGCCACACCTCAGTGCACACGCAATCGCTGCTCTGGCATCGGTATGCTCCGGCCATCACCTGTACTCATGCCATCGGGTGCCAGTTTCGGACCAAAGAGCAGACTTTACTTTTGACTATTGTGGGAATGGGAACTGAGGCAGCAGTCGCCTAACTCTATTGTGGGATGAAATTCCATCTTTTAATCCACTTTCACAGCACGTTTGGACGTTTAGCCTATAATTCAGGCAGCTCATCAAGTTGCAAATCTGATTTTCGAACAAAGTGATTAACCACACATCATTTATGCGAACACAAATTATGCATTTGTTCAGAATTTAATCCTTTTGTCCTTGTAATGAAAGCAAAAGATGCTAATGTACGAAACTACACATTTATTTCGTGGAGCCTTAAATGGTAATGGTAGAGCCGTTTGATGTCATTGACAAAATCCTTTATCGACAACCGAAATGAAGGTAATGTAAATGCATGGAAAACTGTAGATAACCCTTAATTCGCCTAGACCTAAGTCAATCCGAATATTTCGCTTTCGGGTAGCCATAATAATTCCTTAAAAGCTTAAGAATTGAGAAAAATCCAGTAATACATTTCTAAATTGAAATTGACTTTCTCATTTTCGGCAGCACTGAGCATTTCGTAATGTAATAGCGGGACAATTTACGTGGTAAAGTCAAATCAGTTCCTCAGTACCGTTTGTCTATGTTTATGAAAGAAGCCATTACCAAAACCCTTAACTTGGAAGTGCTTTGTTCGATTTTAACACTGGTAAATATGAAGGAGTTGAGATTTATGGGAAGCGGGAAGCATATTAGAATGAAAATGGGCGTTTGGTAGAAATTACTAGTTGCCTCGACTTGATGCCGCTCAGCAATGATAGTCCTTTAATAGCCGCTTAGTTAACTACATCCGAAATTCTTATACTTTTGCAAGCCTACCTTTGAGCTAGGCTTCTGATGTAGCCGAGAGAGATTAATTATTAACGTTAACGTGTCTGAAAACGTGTTGGTGGGGCTAGGATGTTCCGCCTTATTATTTTCGACGATAAGAGACTAATAAAACACTAAGTTTGCCTAACATAACAGTGGTGCTACACAAGAACTAGTAAAAATGCAAATGATGGACTCAAATTGGCTATCTTACCTATTCTTTCCTTGGCTCCTAGTTAAATCACGTTTCAGTTGAAATGATTTTACAAACTATTCATTCCCCCCTATTAAACCAAATTTAAATCCCTTTGTCTTTCACGAATAAATTATTTAGCAAGATAGTGAATGTCAAACTTGGAATGCAATTCTCACCCAATTTCTCTCATTACCAAGAATGGCCTGCAGAAAGACAAAATTTTTCATTAACCATTGTTGAGATGCGATGCGCAAATAACCACCACATTTCATATCCATGTGAGATTTGTTTAGCTTGAAACATTTGCTGCAACATCGCTTGACTAATATAATGCATAAATTTTGCAACTATGGTAGGTTAAATGGAAATATCTAACGTTGCTTTGTCACACAAAGCAAAAATAAACTCAGGGGATCCAAAAAGGTAGGTAACGCAATTTTCTGATAAAAACCTAAATAGCCACTTTAGTTTAATGAAACCCGCTTATTTGGCAAGAACTTGTGCGAGTCTTCTACTAAGATGATATAATCGCAGCCATGCGAATATATCAACCCATTATCTTTTAAAGTAATAGATTTGGATTAACCAACAAAATGACTTTCACGGGTCAAGTCATGGTTGAGGTGCATTACTGTTGAGAGAAAGTTGTCAGCGGCAGTAGAGGAACTAGTGTGATTGTGGTGATTTTGTCTGCTTCTCCATTTCTGGGGTAAAGGATGATGCTAAAAATATTAGATGAGATAAATAAATAGCAATTACTTAAAGGACCGAAAATGACACTTTACGAATTGCGGTCAAGCGCCACTCCTTTTACCCTCCTGTGGCCAATATGTTGTAGGTGAGTTAGCAGTTCCCAGTTGATGGTAGTGCGCAATTTATGGCAAGAAAGTGAATGCACATTCAGGTAAAGTTAATATGTGAAACTAATCTAAAGGTCAACTTTATTTACAGAAGGTGGCTATTCTTCACAAAAGACAGTTCTGGATTTAAAAGTGTAAATCCAACTGGCATCGTTCTTTTAATGTTGCCTAATTATCATGGTAACTAGAAGCTCTAAAATCGTAAATCCATACCTCACGGAAACCACCTTCACTATATTACAATGGGGGTTGGTCCGACAAAACGGTAGGTGTTCTTTACTTTTTTACCTAATGTAAGGCGAATCGGCACGTTCAACTTGTCTAAAACAAAGTCTCACGTCATTGGTCGCGAGCATTAACGCGTGTCATAATATGCCAATCAAGAGGTTGTAATTTCCCCGGAGCGAAATTAATAATCCAAAACCCCGGGGCTCAAATAAAAAAACTCAACGACAGAATTTTCACTCAAATACTTTCATTAAAGTAGCGTGTAGTTTTAAATGCAGTGAAATAAAATTTGCTAATAAATATTACTGAAGTAAAATTTGAGCACCTTCAATAATTTTTGAGGATATTGAACAAATCACTTTGCCTAGTTCATTACTTTTGAGGAGCGTTATTAACAAAAACATAAACCTGATAAACACTTTCTGCCTTCCATCCACTTCAATGTCATCGAGTAACTTGAAATCGCGAATAGTCCGGAGTGACTTAGCTAAGTAGCGCTGTATGAAGAAAAAATGCTTTCTAAAGACAAATACTGTGATTTTTTTACACAAATTCCGAAATAATTTCTACTT